TACTGGAGAAGCAGAGAACGAAATCTGCCCAAACCACGCAGATAGAGTGAAAATGTTAAATGTGCGGAAGCAGAGTGCGAAAAACACCAAATAAAATTCCTGAAAAGCAGCATGCTTACCAAACTTGGCAAAATTTGACCAAAAACAGATTAATTAACAGCAGTAACAAGTCCGAATTTAAGCTAGGTCAAACGACCCTCTGAACTTGACCACATGTATTTAGAATTAGAAATAGATAAAAAATTAAGAATTTCCATTAAAATACCTGTCTTACCTGCAATCGAAGCAACAGCATCATCCCGCTGTTTTTTCTTTTGTCTTTTTACTGCCCCGGACTCCTGCAGCCTTTTCGGAGCCATGACTGTGACCGCGGCATCCTCCGCAGGTGTACTGCGGGGGGTGGGGTGACACGGTCCATCTCCTCTCCTTTTTGTATTGTTTTATCTCTGTAAACATGCTAGCTTGCTTTGCACATCTTCTAATTGAAATCTGTCTTTATCATATATATTATTTTTTCGTAAGCTTGCATTTGATGGTGCCCCTCCCCTGGCGTGGTGCCCTACGCGCTGTGCGTGGTGTGCGTGTGCGGAGCGCCGGCGCTGTGTATAGAAATCTGGGGCACAACATATACAAACTTATGCAAAATCTATATATTGCAAAAAAAAAAAAGCAATAATAATCATTACAAGAAGTTATTACAGAGATCCATCTAACCCGTTATTAATAAAAACAAAAACATTAAAATTCTATGACCTAGTGGACTACAATATTTCTAAATTTATGTATAATGCAAACAAAAAAACCTTCCTAACAATTTACTTAGAAGATTTATAAAAACACGGAGTAAATATAAACTAAAAGGACATGAATTATTTACAATACCCAAGTACAGAATAATGATAAAGGAGCGCTGTGTCTCTTTATATGGAGTTAAAAATATGGAATAAGCTTGGAAATGTAATCAAGGATGCGAAAGCGATATTTACTTAAAAAAACTAATTAAAATTGAAATACTGGAATCACATATGTGCAAATAAATAAATAAAGTTATAGAAGATGTGTGTAGGTATATTCATGTGTGTATGTATAAATATGTATGTATGTTTGTTTATGTGTATATTGTAATGAAGTAGAATTACATTTAATTAATGAGCCATAAGGCGTGGGATTCCATAGGAAATATGGAATCCACCTTACGGATGAAGGGTTATTTAAACCAGAAGATTGGATCTTTTTATTGCAGAGATTAGATAACCGTTACGTATTCACTCAGAGACAACAGAATAGAGAGTCAAGTTTAAAAGTTAAGAATTTTATTACTAACAAATTAAACTAGACTGACTTTAAAACTAAATGTATAGTGTAACTAAAAATGGATGAGACGGTGGATGGATGATGTGTGATGTTAAATCAGAACCAGAAAATCCGAAGAAGCGATTGTTCTGACGGGAACTGAAGATGTTGTTTTCGCATTAAGCTTTGGTTAGCTTCAGAAACACACGAGACACCATCATGCCGGCCTACCTACCCTTGGTGGAAGTCCTCTGTACATCAGGAATATCGAGGTCCAGTGAACCCTCTCTGGAACCGAGCCGGTAGGAAAAGCCGTGGTTCCGATCAAACCCGTCTTGAGTTACTTCCAGGCACACGACAAGTTATTGGCGTCTGGTGAGACCCTAGCCTGGGTCCGGAAGGTGGAGCTTTTATTCTGAAAGGAGCTGTTGCCGCTGGTTGGTATAGCGACTGGATTTTTCAGCTTGTCGTTGTTGTTTCGGTTAAAGAGTTAAGATCAGGATTGGCCACTCCGTCACTTTGTCTGGAATGCTTTGAACTGGCGTTAGAGCTGACGTGCAGTGGCGGCTGGTGAAAAATATTTTTGGTGGGGCTGTGCTATTTTTTTTTAAACAAACTTGTGCTTTCTGAGCTTTGTGCACAACTTCACTATTTCCTGAATTAAGCACAGCTCTTTTATTTCCTGTCTTACATCATTGGACAAACTGATTAATCCAGGTGTGTCTGACTATTGGCAAACTGCCTTGCGGACCAAGGTTGAAAAATACTGCATTAAATTGCACATAAAATAACATGACCATAAATGGTAAATAGGGAATACAAGAGGCAAGTAACAAAAACATTTTGTTTAATTTCATCATTTGAGTGAACACGAAAAATTATGAGCAGGTCACTGTTACAGTAATGGTAGTAAACACTACTTAGACAAAATGCCAGAAATTTACACTGTTAGGACTTATGGAAAGTGGAAACACTTTCATAGGAAATAATGTCATCAGTATCCTCTTACAAATGTCATATTTCCCACTTCCCAAGCTGGGAAATTTGTTTGCTGCAGCAGAAGTGTAACAAGTAAAATGGAATCAGATTGATGTATGTACAAATTTACTTGAAATACACATTTACATGATTAAATATGTATAATAGGTATGTGTGTTGAAATTAGTTTTTACAGTTATTGCACATTAAACAATGTACATGTTATTAAACAAATGTCCCGGTTTGTGGGACAACCAAGGATTTCTGATTCTGATTGTCTTGTTTACAGAAATGTAATGTACAGCTTACCTCTGCACCCAGCTGCTGTTCTCCCTGGCCAAACGTCCTCCATTTCTTTGTTGGCTGCTGCACTGATGCGCTGCATTCCTCAGTCAGAGAATGAATGGAGTCCCCAATGAGACACAAGTTCCACATCCACCTTCTGTGGATCCCAGCCGTTTTGAATAACAAACACAGAAAGCAAAATAACGCATTAGCGTGATTGCATCCAGCTAGCCACTGCTTCCTGGTGTACCAATTTTGGGAGAAGCGTCGTGTGTACAGATTCAGATTCAGATTTCAGATTTATTGGCCAAGTAAAATTACATTTACAAGGAATTTGTCTTCGGTAGATGTTCGCTCTCTAAAACATACAACAACCGCAATAAATGAGAATAAAAATACCTAAAAACACATAAGAACATGTATACCCACACACATGTTCATTTACACACACACCTATATACATATATACATACCCACACACACGCACGCACGCACGCACACACACACACACACACACACACACACACACACACACACACACACACACACACACACACACACACACACACACACACATATCCATAAGCATACTGAATTTGTATTAAAAACTATAGTAAAAGGATGGTAAAAGAATCTACAGATTCAGGAGAGAAATAGCTGAAGGAAAGAAACTTACCTCTCTCCTTGTCCTGCTGGCTTATCTTTACGTCGGGCTGATCTGGTCCAAGCTCTTTGACATTAAGTTTTTCCACCATAGTTCTCTTCTCGAACGGATACTGGAAGAGACCGAACTGAATTCAGTGGCTGCTGAGATCCGGTATCCATGTTGTTGGCGCACTGTCTACGTCTGCGTCACGACCGTCAAAACGTGCTGGAGTCGAGACTCTCCGAGTTCTACCGAACATCAACGAAAGCCTTGGCGGTAGCTCTATCGCCCATCATGCTTCTGAAACGTTCTGAAACAACATTGACGCTGATTGGATACATTCCCATTCCTACCCTTTGATTTTCTTGTCAGCAATTGGACAACTGGTCCCGTCCTGTTTGGGCGATTGAAAAACAGCACACAGCCTCCACCGCTCGGCAGAGATCGGCAGAGACCGGCAGAGACCAATATAGATATATATACATATATGATTTATTTTTGTTACAAAACACACAATTAACTTAGAATATGTGATTATTGTTAATTTTATTTATTTATTTTTTAAAATAAAAATTAAAAACACAGGGGAAACTGGGAGGGTGGCGCCCTATCGCCCTCTACTGGCCAGCCGCCACTGCTGACGTGGCATAGTTTTATACTTCAGATGTTATGATTTATTGTCGAATGAAAAATTACCAAACACCATCAGAACCACGCCTCTGTCAGATCTGTAAGATTCTGATTGGATCAGTGAAAGGAATGTGTTATGTCTTTAACACTACGTGAAATGAGTCCTGTTGGAACACTTAAAGTCACAGTACTTATTATTTCTATAGGATCATAATAAAGCAATTAATATTTTGATTTCACTGGTCGGTCACATCTTATTTATTGACTAACACTTTGATGGATTAGCTTAATAAAAACAGAGTTCTTTGATTAATTAAAAGAAAAGAGTTCATTCTTCATTCTTCTGTTGAGCTGAAAATAAGCAGGTTAGAACGAATGCACGAGACCTTGAGTTATGTCTCATACAGACTAGTCTTGAGCAAAGAAGGGAAAATAAGTCATTTCGTTCCGTTACAATATGTAGTGGATACGTGTGTATGTCTGTATGTATATGTATATATGAAGTATGTGCGACCATATGGGCATGCGATGCACTTTAATCTATATATGTATGAATAGGTATATGTGCAAAAATCCTTTTGCTTTTTGAATTAATATTACTATTAATTTTTTCTTTTTCTTTACAAATTGAACTCTAGTTAGCTAACCAGTCAAGCAATTACTTTGTATACGCTAATTTATAATTATTGTTATTTCAGTGTATAAATGTCATTTTAGTTAAAAAAGGGCAGATAACATAAGTTGTCTTCTTTAAGTTCCCTTTTCATTTTCTTGGTTTGAGAAACCTAATTTATTTGTTAGTATAGTTTTTTTTTCTATTTTAATAATAATTGAAATAAATAATCAAAAACATTTTTGGGTTCAAATTTTTACTAATATATCTATTTTAGGCCTTTTTGAGCAGAATAAATGAAAAATATAAAATAATGTTTGCATTCCTAAATAAATAGTAATTTTTTTTGTGGGATGTGTGTCTTCCAGAACACAAATATAATTTGCCACCAACACCAGATTGTGCTAGAAGTTGTTACCCAAACACTGTAAAGAGTTGAAGGAACATAACATTTTGTTTAATTAGCAGCAATTTGTTTTTGCCATTTGATAATTGTGTTTCCTACAATAGCTAATGTTCCTGTTTTTGCTCTGAACACCTTGATGTCTTCTGAAGGACTTTGCTGTACTGCCAGAGAAAGACAAGACGGCACTGGGTGAAGGAGGAGTGACTCTCAGTGGTGGTCAGAGAGCAAGGATTTGCCTCGCCAGGTATGCTCGGTCAAAACGGTTTCATTCTTCTGATCACTCTCCTTCACATTCTGGACTTGTTTCCAACTGCATGGGTGTGGCCATCACTTACAAGGGAGTGCAGCTGTTCACTGATTTGAAGGTGAGCGATTCAGCCATTTGTGAAAAATTTTCTGGGCAGGATACTGAACCCTGAAAGCCATCCTAGGTGCAGGGAAACAGAAAACGTGCAGGTGGCAGCCCTTGAGGACCACAATGGAAAAGCTCTGATGTAAACTAAAACAGAAACACACACACACACACACACACACACACACACACACTCTCACACACACACACACACACAGTCGCACACACACAAACAGCGCGCGTGCCTCCTCGACGCGCTGGGCCTCAGTTTAAGTGAATGGTTTTAAACATGAGCCACAAAACCAAGTTGTGTGTTTATTTATGAAAACTCTGTAGAATAAAGTCACACTAATGCGCGCCAATGGAGACAAGCTCTGGTGTCACAGTGAGAGTTAACGTGATGAGCAGTTCCTGTCTGTCAGGGACGGTGGGCGGAATCAGGACCACACTGGGGATATTCCCAGTGGGCCGGTCTGATCGGTGTTTTTAGTCTTCTTCTTGTTTTGTTTTTCCGAGCCGATGCTCAGTCATGTTGATAACCTGTCAGTGTGGAAGGACCAGGTGAGCTGCTGCCAATAAGCTTTAGCTCTTATAAACACTTTCTATGCCCAGACTGTAGTGAGCTGTTATTTATAATTTTTATAATTAATAGTAAGTTAATAAATACACTACAATCACAGCACGTGAAAGAAAATAAGATTTAAAAAGTCTGAATATTTTCTCCCACTGCTCAGCTCATAAACAAATGTCTGCTTCAGCTGGACAATATCAAATATGAAAAAGTGTTCACAGATAACCAAACTTTTATTCAAAAAGAATATTAATCATTTATATTTGAATATTTACTTTATTTCGTTTCTGTGGTTTGGATGTCCATTGCATATTTTTTCTAATTAGTGTAAAAAACACATGATGTTGTAATAACAGGTCATGATCTAGTCGGTCTGAGGTTTAAAACTGGCCCTGCAGATGGATTCAACTTTGTTCCTCAAATCGAGTCTAGTAGTCTCGCAAGTTCTGCACGCTCACACGTTCAACTGCATCTTTACTGCAAATATGTGTCTGCATACCCCTCCTAAAGTAGGTTGTTGCACCCTTGTGTTCAGTAGTGTTTTTGTTTACCTTGTATAATTAAAGAACACTTCAAACCTCTTTTTCAGCAACACAAACTATACAGGTAAAACTCGACAGTATGACATACGCACTGGCATTGTGAAACTTTTTGTATTTTGGGTAATGTCTGGGTTCAAGAGAGATCCTCACTTTAACCCAGTAGAAAGAATAATAAAGTTCCACTATAAACGTCCAGCTAGGTAGAGATTTTAGTACCTGTCAAGGTCCGGCGTGACAATAAACCTTATCTAAAAATAACCTCAGTAATGAAGAGCATCACTACCATCACCTTGTCTTAGCCTTTATTTGAGTTTGTGCTCCTTTGCTTTCCATTGTTATGATTTGCAAAACCTTTCATTCGTTTATGTTGTACATTCTGCAGCTCCATTCAAGCTTTATTACTCCTATAAATCCTGGCGCTAACTACCAAAGACTGTCTCTTTTTCCCATGCATTATTTGTGGCTTTGGACCACTGGTGCTGATTTGTGGTCAGTGATTGGTTATTTGCATCTGATGCTTCTGTAAATATGTACATTTATTGTTTTACAGCATTCCCACCAAGCTGACGTCCTTTTCACACCCTGTAGATGAAGTGCTTCTGCTTTTCATGTCTCTTTTCTGTTTGCTTTCATTATTTTTAGAACGTTTTTCCTCTCCATGTGTGTTCTCTGCCTTAGAGCCGTGTATAAAGATGCAGATCTCTACCTGCTCGATGCTCCTTTCACCCACCTGGACATTGCAACAGAGAAAGAAGTCTTTGAAAAGTATGTATTTTCAACAGAGCCTTTCATGTGTGGGGGAAGTGAGATTCCTAGTGAGTTCAATGTCAAGCCTATCTCTAGTAGTCTCAGACACACTTGTGTGAACGCTGGTGAACAAAGACGGCTTGAACACCTTATCAACTCTGTAAATGTCTAAAGTGTTTTTATTTTTAAGGTCAGCTAAAGAAATCCAGTCTTTCAAAGTAAAACAGAAGCCAGGTTCTGCTTCTGGTCAGACATTTACATAAACCCATCATGATCATGACTCATTTTAACTTGGGGCTTTAAAAGTTTTTTTTTCTGGGGTGGAGTGATTGAATAACACACAAAGTCAAAATAACAGCATTCTAGAAACTGACTACCTTTAAGAAAATTTTACAAATCTGTCAGTCGGATTAAGGACACTAGCATAATGTTAGCATCCAGTCAGAGACCAGTTGTAATGTATCCAGGATCATTGTCTTGCTCAAACTCAGCTGTGTGGTTCGACAATCTAGCTGATTATTTCAGATAAAGCTGTACAAATTGGAAGTACTTTCATCCACTTTGTGCACCAGTCCCACAGCATGGGGCAATCACCACCGTGCTTGACAATCAGTCTAACGTTCTTAGGTTTCCCACTGGATCTTATCATGGAGACCAAAAAACCCAGTCATTAGGCCCTTTTGTACTATCTAACTTCCTGGTAATTTTATCAAACTTTCATGGTATACACGTCCCCCTTTTACCAAGCCAGCACAAAAAGGCTCGCTTTCTGGGCCATTCAGGGACACACCCGAGGACTTGCATTGTAGTATGTACTCTGAAATGGACTGGGTGGCTGGGTGGAACTTGTGGTTACCTTGTGCTAACTAGTTGTGACTCAATAAGAAATTATATCAGCAGACGTTGCCAAGCAGAATGGAAGGGAAAAAGTAAGCAGTGTTGATTTTGCATCATAGTCGACTTGAGCCTTGGTAGTTCCTGGGTGCTTCCTGAACATCCTGACCAGTTTGTCTTAATCTGAGGGTGACAGTTCAGGGGTCTCATTTATCAAACATTGGTAGAATCCTTACTAAAACCGTACTTAGGCTCAGCAAAAAAAATGTACTTACGCCAAGTAGGTTTGTGATCTATCAAACATGGCGTACGCACAGCTGCACACAATCGCCGCTTCATAAATCGGAGACTAACGAGAATGTTTCTCAGCTGGATTTTAGTCACATCCCGCCCTCACCACGCCCACTTTCTGCCATAAATAGTCAATACAAAGTGCCTTGTGGATCTCATGCATATACGTAAGCCGGCTGTTGCAGCGCTCTGCCAATGACATGGTGACTGTAGATCAAGGCAGATCAAGGAAGCGCTAGTTCACAGAAGCAGAAGTTGAGGTACCTGTGGGTGAGGTGGAGAAATGAAAGGAAGTGCTTTTGCAAAACAAATAAGAGAAAATCCACGGAGTGGCACAGCGTTGCTGAAGCCGTCAATGTTGAGTTCTTCAGAGAGATCTGTGGCGGATATAAAAACAATGGTCCAATTGGGATTCGATCCCCAGACTCCCAGGTGAAAGTCATGCGCGCTAACCAGTCACCCAAACAGAGATCTCTCTTCCAAGTAGCCAGGGCGCATGATCAATCGGGTCACAGTGACAGGACACACACACCGTCACAGACGCATGACATTCTGTCTCAATCTGTCCCCCTGCTGATATTCTGCATTCTATATTTTGCTCTTCAGGCTGTGTGTGTGTGTGTGTGTGTGTGTGTGTGTGTGTGCACGCGTGTGTGCACGCGTGTGTGTGTGTGTGTGTGTGCGCATGTGTGTGTGTGCGTGCGTGCGTGTGTGTGTGTGTGGGGGGGGCTTGTTCTGTGTGTACAGGAAGTGGTACAAGTGATAATGCTGCAGGATTTCATAATTGTACCTTCTCAGCAGCAGCACTGCAGGTGCTCTCCATGTCCAACATGTGTGTAAGCCAGGTCCTTGGTCAACTTAAAGTTGCGCACATTTTCCCGCTAAGTTTTCTTTCATAAATCGCAAAGTTTGCTTGGAAAGTTGCTTACACAGTTTTCCGACCCCGTTTTGTGCGTAAGCAAGCTTGATAAATGAGGCCCCTGGTCTTTTTCCAGACTTAAGGAAAGTTATCACCCATTTGAGGTAATAACGTATACGACTGTCTGAACCTTATATTGTAAAGTCATTCCACCCTGGAAAAAGAACAATTCCAATTAAACATCAAAGCCAAAAGTTTATGATTTCTGTGTTTATGATGAGAGAGTGCAACCACAACTGTGAATACATTTCCACACACCAGTATAAATCTCTTTTTTGGAGTTTTACAAATAATGCTGTGTAAACTTTGACTTTGCAGATGTGTCTGTAAACTCATGGCCTCTAAGACTCGTGTTGTGGTCACCAGCAAATTGGAGCATCTCAAACGGGCAGATAGGATCCTTCTGTTGCACAACGGAGACTGCTACTTTTACGGCACTTTCTCAGAACTGCAGGCACAGCGCCCAGACTTCAGCTCCCTCCTGCTTGGACTGGAAGCCTACGACAACATCAATGCAGAGCGGCGCAGCTCTATTCTCACAGAAACTCTACGCAGGGTCTCAGTTGACGAAACTGCTGGCTTCAGAGGCCCAGAGCCTATTCGCCAGTCATTCCGCCATGCACCTCCTCAAAACCCTGTTGCAGGAGATGGCTATCCTGAAAAACGCAAGCACTCTCTCATCATTAACCCTTTTGCTGCTGCCCGTAAATTCTCCTTCATTGGGAACAACCAGCCAGTAAATAATTTCCAGCCCACAATTGAAGAAGGAGTTAATGAAATGTCTGACAGAAGATTCTCTGTAGTACCTGAGGACGATCAGGTAGAAGAGGTTCTCCCAAGGAGCAACCTCTATCACCATGGGCTACAGCATCTCAACGGGCAGAGGCGCCAGTCTGTCCTGGCCTTCATCACCAATGCTCAGGGTCACGAGCGCAGAGAACAGATGCAGTCCTCCTTCAGAAAGAAGCTGTCCATCACGGCACAGTGCAACCTGGCATCTGAGCTGGACATCTACGCTCGACGCCTGTCTAAAGATAGTGTTTATGATATTAGTGAGGAAGTGGATGAAGAAGACATGGAGGTAAATTGTTAAAAACTTTGAAAATCATTTTTGCCATTAAAGGTTTTATTTCACTCTAATTTTCAAGATCTGAAAGCTAACATTTACTGGGATAAATATAGTCAAAAGGTACATTCTGTCATTATAGCTGATAATATATACAAAGTATAGATTAGTTTGTGTAATTTCTTAGTGCACTGGTATCTGTTTTAATCTTGTCCCAGGGACAGTGGAGGACACTGAGTCCAGAGTGAACTTATTCTACTCTGCTTTTGCTGAGGTGGCTTTTGCTAGCTGTGGCCACCCAGAGGTTAGGGGAGCACGTACTGGACATGGCGGGTCTGTGGGTCTCCAGAAGGGATGGACAGGGACCCGACAGCTAAGCAACGCAGTGGCAACTGCTGAGGCAAAATCTCATATTTGGGAGGAGTTTAGTAAGGCCATGGACTATCATTCGCCTCCGAAGAGGTTATGGGGAGAGGCAGCAACTCACTCAGACTGTTTATGGTGAGGATGGGGAGCTGCTGTTGACCACTGAAAGGAATAAACTGCCAGCACTTACTCCAATGAGGGATATGAGGTCAGAGACTGACTGAGATATCTCTGGAGTGGAAGTAAAAGACGCAGTCAAACATTCATGCATCAGCAGAGCGCTGGACATTGACCAGACCCAATCCAGGGTACCTAAAGGCTATGGATATTGTCTGACTGTTTTGGCTGACATTGCTCTGCAACATTGCATAGACATTGCTGAAGGTGCCTGTGAAGGTGCAGACTTGAGAAGTGGTCCCTGTATCAAACAAAGGGGACCAGAGAGCATTCTACGCTACCCAGCCTCCCGGGAATGGGCTACTTCAGGGTAGTGGAGAGAAGGGCACATTCGATAGTTGAATCCCAGATTCTATTTTTGATCTTGTTTGATGGTAACAATCTTGTGTCTGGTCCCATCTGCTATGGGTAATAGCTAGAAGGAGGCAGATGAACACTTTCAAACTTTTAGTATATGCTTCTTTCATAACAGCTTGGTAGGTAACTGCTAAATCCCAACCATTGATGGGAATAACAATGTTTAAAACAATGGCGTTACTAAGGGAAGTTCGTTTTTTCAGTAACAAGGAATCTAATGAATCATCTTCTTCTTTAGTCCTAACGACATTCCGTTACCAATAAGAAAATGCGTGCGTTACTATAATTCAGCAGCACGGTGTGTTGAAGCTGCCATCAGCAGATCAGGAGCTAAAGGAGCAAATATTTACATCCAAGCCCATCACAGCCAGTGAGGAATGAGGAAGACGTGATGAATAGCCTACAACTGCAGACCCGCAGATTCACTGCTGCTGGCGAGAATCTGCAGCTGTACCCTTCTTGGCGTAACAGCAGGACTTCCCGAAGGTTTGCTCACCTTTTCACCGCTCATAGGGAAGGGCAATCCTGGTCCTGGAGATTCGCTTCCCAGCAGGTTTTAGTTGTTTTTCAGCTTAAACACACCTGGTTTTAACAGGCTGCCGCAGAGCCTGAGGAGCTGCTGAACGTGATTCATCCAGGAATCAGGTGTGTTGGGGCAAGTAACCCCTCCAAGAGCAGGATTGCTCACCCCTGCCCTAAATCATCCAACTAGAACCTGTTCCTGATCCTTTCTTAAGTCCTGCTGTAGCACTGATGCATCAGTCTCAAACGTCATGGGCGCCCAGGTGTTATCAGAACTACCTGTGTGTCTTTACCACCAAGCTTCAGCTCTTCTGTGTTTGGGTCTGACCCAAGTTAGTAAATTTAAGTCCTCCGTCGGATTTGTGCCTCTTCGAGTGTCATTTTTTAGGATTTTATTTATTTATTTTAACATTGCTTACTAGATTATGAGTAATAGAAATGCTAGTAAAAACACACAATTATGTGAAACCGGAAAAATTAGAATACTGTGCAAAATTACATCTATTTCAGTAATTTAACTAGACTGAGAGACCATTTAAAGGCTCCGGAACCCTTTACAGGTGTTTCTATTTGCAACTATAAATTTTAGTTGACTTGTTTCATATCACACTGTGACATTTGACAAGTTTAGATTTGTGTAATGTTCCTGTTTGTAGTTCCTCCAGTTAAGTGTCCACTTACTTCAATTTTTCAGTTTTATGATAAACATTTGTACATATGTTTTATTATGTTCAAGTCTTTTTAGTAATTTATTATAGTATTGTAGTAATTTATAGTAAATTAAGTCATTTTAATTAAAAGTAAATTCCATTTTTCTTTCAAATTTGTATGAAAAAAGTTATTTTTTTTGTCATTAGTAACTTTTATTACCTTGTAACTCAGTAACTTACTGAGTTACTTTTTTGACAAAGTAATTAGTAATTATTTGTAACCCCCCATACCCAAAGGCTGTTTTGTTAAGAACCAGTCACACTCAGAGAGAGGGAGGGAGGAGAAGGGCCCTATCAGGGACTGTGACGTAGCTTTAATTTAAACCTTTTTACAGTTGTGGTTCTGACTGGGTAAAAAGCAGAGGTGTGACCAAGTCACTGCTTTGCCAGTCACAAGTAAGTCACAAGTCTTTCCAGTCAAGTCTCGAGTCAAGTTCAAGTCAAAGACAACCAAGTCTTAATTTTTTTGCTCAAAGAAGCAGAAAGTGCAACTGAACCTGATTACAAAGAGCTGCTGCATTTAGCAGAACAAGATCAAACCCAGAACCAAGAATGATTTATGATTTCTGTCCATGTTGTGCCACTTTTGTGCTGAAATATCAAATATACTCAAGTCATCATCAAGTCAACAGATGCAGGTCGATTCAATTCGCAAGTCATTGGCGTTCAAGTCCGAGTCAAGTCATAAGTCTAAATAGATTTTATCAAGTCAAGTCAGAAGTCATTAAAATAATGACTCGAGTCTGACTCGAGTCCAAGTCATGTGACTCGAGTCCACACCTCTGGTCAAAAGTTTATCAGCCCTTAACTCCAAGCAATTATCTGCCCTGCCTATCGGCACATGACACCTCTGGTGTAAGTAACAAAATCATGAATACAAGCCGGTGAGGGGGTGGCTGGGCGCCGCTTTAGAGGTAGGGTGAAGAGCACTGACGTCCAGGAAGGACGAAGGCCTAGTCCACACGTAGCCGGGGTTTTTTTTTTAATGAATATCCGTCCCTCCAAAAACTTGCATCCACACCACCTCGTTTAAAAAAAAACTGTCCACACGTACCTAGATAAATACGTTGTTAAGGACATGCCAGACCTGTAGGCGGCAGTACTTCCCCCGTTCTTAACCTCGTCCTTCGTCTGTGGTCTTCCGCAAGGAGCAGTAATTCCGCTTGCAAAAACAAATGAGCAGAAAGCGCTTGGACAATTGATAAAGCGAGCGCAGCTCTGAGGGCATCCATGATGTCGGCTAGTGTAAAAACAGGTCGCACACGTGATGTCAGCATTTTTTGTCGCGGAAAGTGACGTTGCGGACCTTAAAACTCCGGTTTTGTCTGTCCACACGCAAACACCCAAAACGGAGAAAACGCAGATCTTCACTTTGGCCGGAGTTTTTAAAAAGATCAGTTTTCGTGTGAAAAAACTCAGTTTTCGTGTGGATGACAGGCCAAAACGTAGAAAATATCTACGTTTTGGCAGATCCCCGGCTACGTGTGGACAGGGCCTTGGAGTAGAGCTACTGCTCTACCACGTCAAGATGAGCTATCAAATCTGGAATCTGAGCAGTTTTGTTTAGACATTTTCTTTCTTTTTCCTATCAGTGCATTTGTTTGCTGGGCGGTCAGCTGCTGCTTGCTGTCAATCACTGTGGCAGCACGGTGTCAGATAACTTGTCTCTTTTTTTTCCCTCTCCTCATGCCTGGGCTGGTGGTGCTCTACATGTGGCACACCTCGTTGTAGTGATGTACATCCTTTGCACATTAGGAGAGCATGCATCCTCTTGTGCAGTCCCCATGATTTGTGGGCTCCTATGGAAGGGGGGCGCCGGGCCCTGGGTGGGCTCTGGAGGGATTATACTTTATTGTGTTTCTGTGTTTATTCTTTAGTCAGGCGTGGATGGTGAAAACGTCTTTCTTTTATTCACAGGAATGTTTTGCAGATGAACGTGAGAGTGTCTTTCAAACTACCTCATGGAGTACTTACCTACGCTACATTTCTACCAACAGGAGCTTAATCTACGTTCTCATTTTCATCGGAATTGTCTTTGTCATTGAGGTGAAACCACACATTCTGTTTTAGATGAAAGGTTCTCACATTTTAGAGCTTCGGGTATTTAAAAGCCAACATCCATTTTTACATACATAGGTTGCTGGTTCAGTCGTTGGGATTTTTCTCATCACTGAGTGAGTCACGTTTTATGTTCATTTACAGACTAAAATGAGACACTGCTCTCTTTTTATGTAAAAATCAGCTAAATGATTAAGTCTTATTATTTTTTACAGTCACGGTAAAAAGAGAGTCTTCCATCAGTTCTAAGGTTTTTTGTATCAGAGCATAATCAACTATGCAAGGTTCTAGATCTATTCTGATATACCCAACAGACTCCATTAAGTTTAAAGCCCAAGTCTTCTAAAATCTTAAGTCACTCATAACTGAATTCAATTGGATCACCATCTCACCAGCTGTTTTTCTGTTGTCCTCAGTCTGATCTGGCATTCGCTGCCAATCTTTAACTTTTGTTCTGTTTAACCAGTAAGATCTGGAGAGACGGGGCCAACCCAAACTCACCCAACTACATCAGTGAACTGCCCCCGAATGCCTCATCGCCTCCTGTTTTTCTGGCAGTCATTGTCACACCCACCAGTGCTTACTACATCATCTACATTTTTGTGGCCCATTCGGACAGCATACTGGCCTTGGGGGTCCTCCGGGGTCTCCCTCTAGTCCACACTTTGCTCACTGTGTCCAAAAGACTTCATGAACAGATGCTCAGTGCCGTGCTACGAGCCCCCATGTCTGTGCTCAACAACATGAAAACAGGTGATGTTCTTTGTATCATCTACTGAATGATTAAGGTTTGTCTTTGTCCTTATGGGTCAAATTGGTTCATCAGAGAAAATGACTTTCCTGCCTCTTATTGGTTTACCATGAAGTTACTCTTAGCCAATGATTAGCAATTATGTGAATGTTTTTGCCCCTTTAGCTCCTGGTCAGATGATGACATGCCTTGCCACTGAATGTGTCTGCTCTGGGTTTTCTTATCAGCACCAGCAATAGCATTGAAACTGTGGAGAAAGTAATTATTTTGGTTACACGTTGGTGACAAAACTAACTACAATAGTAAAGCCAGTGATTTTACAGCTGTCTTTCCCATCACTGTTCTCTGGTGGTTTTCTTGTAGTTGCTTCGTTGCTGCCCCTTTGAAAATGAGGACCACTCAGCAATAGGGCCATCCACTTACAAACAGATGTCAATAACAGAGCGAGTGTTTGTGGAACATGTTTTAGCTCTGTTGGCCAGCTAGAGTCATAGCTTCAAACCGTAATCATTAAAGTAGGGGGTGGGGCTTAAGGTGATGCACATTTTTCCGCTTCTAAATGATGTTTATGTTTATGTACTTAGCAGACGCTTTTGTCCAAAGCAACTTACAAGTGATAATCGGCATGTTGCCCTTGAGGCTAACAACAACAATAACAACAACAACATTGACATCAGTCATGGAGAGGAGGGAACAAGGAGTGGACAGTAGAGAGGGGGGACGGGTGCAGGGAGGGTGCTAGTTTAGAAGATGCTCTCTGAAGAGCAGGGTCTTCAGGAGTTTCTTGAAAATTGAAAAGGAAGCTCCTGTTCTGGTAGTGCTTGGAAGGTCATTCCACATTTGTGGAACGATGCATGAGAAGAGTCTGGATTGTCCTGAGCGTGGTGTAGGCACTGCTAGCCGACGATCCTGTGATGACCGGAGCGGCCGGGTCGAGACGTAAGCCTTTGCAAGAGGATTCAGGTAGATGGGAGCCGTACCATCTCAGACTTTGTATGCTAGTGTTAGCAATTTGAATTTGATGCATGCTGCTAGCCATAGGCGGAGATCCCAGGGGGGACGGGGGGGGACGCGTCTCCCCTCACACAAAGTTGTCCCCCTCACAAAAGAAGTTATTGTAAACACATAAATGCTATCAGTAAACCTGTATTGTCTTCTAAAACCACAACGTAAAAGTTAGTCTGCAAATACAAAACAATGTGTGTCAAAAATGGGACCCAATGCCTCCCTGCTTGACACTCAGCATTAAGGGGTTGGATTGAGGGGTTAAACCACCAAATGGTTCCCGAGCGCAGCTGTGTCTGCAGCTCACCTCTCCCCCAGGGGATGGGTCAAATGCGGAGAACAAATTTCGCACACACCAGTGTGTGTGACAACTAATGGGACTTTAACTTTAACTTTAACTTTAATTGTTGAGAAATTATAGTCCACCCCCCCATTTCTCAAGTTGGTACGGTCGGTTCACACGTGCTGTTTCCAACGGGCGGGGCTGCCGGCTCTGCCCCGCTCACAGCTTCACAGCAGCCCGCTGGCTCACAGGAGGCGGGAATCAAAAAGCCAGCGGTTTCCAGCAGTAAGTCATTTATCACACGCTTGTTCTACAAACTTAAATATGTATGTCAGATGTGGTCATAAATGTCAAACATAGACACTGATTATCTTTAGATTTTGATCACCGGTCGGAGATCCCTTTATGATGGACCACCACCACCACAGTAAAAAAAAGTTGTCACTTCATGTTCTCTGGTCATTCCAGGATTATTCCGCTATTATTATTCCATTCACTAAGGCGATCAAAAGTTCCTTTTTCCGGACACGTATGCTTTCACGGTCTGCCCCTGGAATCTGCGGAGCATTTATAGATCGATGAAAATGTCCGCGCTTCATCCTATGTAGCATATGAATATGGTAGAATCAACACTAACTGGTCCGATGTATGGAAAACCACAGCGTTTAACCGCTCTTATCACGTCTTCCCCAGGCTCTGCAGCTGCAATATGTCAAAGTGCAGGTGCACCGTGCAGCTTAGGGATGAACTGGTTGGTTGCAGCAAATGTGTGGCGGAGGCACGTTGCTCAAAGCTCTCAGTGTAAAACATAGAGTCAAAGATCTCGTTGGCCACACAGACCCAAAAACACTATGAAAACTGAGAAAAGTGAGAGATCGATTAAACTGAAAGATAAACTATAGAGTATGTATATGTTTAGTGTATTTGTAAAGTAAATGTTTTTAATTTTTATTATTAAAATTAAACAAATATTTCAAGAATATATTTTTAGATTTATTCTCTAATAGCCTACAAATATTTCTATGATTTATTAAAGAGATTTCAGTCATTTTGATACGTGACTTGTGAAAGCTGATTTGAAGGTTGTTATTTTTTCTAGACATATTTAGAAGGAAAACTTCAAATATATTTAAATCAATATGGAACTATTTGGATTTTAGTAGCTTTCATGTTATGTGATTTAATAAAATTTAAATTAGACATTTTATGTTCTCTCTCTTTGTTGTGAAAAAGTTAGATATGTTTTAGTACTTAAAATTAATGCTTTGCATCCGTCCACACGTGTAGCTGTTGGTCAGCTAATAGCCATGTCATTTCAGGACATGTTGCTTCAACTATTAACGATCTACTTTTAAATCTTTATTCTGAATTGCTTATTCCATTTTAGGCCACAGTCTTGTTATTGAAATGAAAACAAAAAGAAAGAAAGCTTATGGAGATGTACAAAATTGGCAAGATATTATTGTTGATCAATATCCTCCAGCTCCGTTCTAATGACAACATCCCATCTGTGTGTGTGTTGCTGTCCAACTGTCAGCAGAGCAGGTCAGTTGAAATGGCAGAGAAACGAAAAACGGCAGACATCAGGTTGTTTTTTAATGCTCCAGAACGTCAAGCAAGTAGAAACTTGCATTTTGATAAAGACATCTATAAGAAAGAAATGAAATTGTTTCTAAACAGTTTCATTAGGCAAAGTCCAGTCACTTGAGCACAGGCAGCCAGAGCCTGTCAGACACAGGCACAGAGTCTCAGGTCAGTCTCTTATAAGGACATACAGTGTTGTATGTAGACAGCATTTTTTTCATGTCCCCCCAAAAAAATTACTCTCCGAAGTTTTACTGTTTATTGTCCCCCCCCTCAAAATTGAAATGGGATTCCCGCCCTTGCTGTTAGCGGTAGCCAGTGGAGCTCAATGAACAGAGGGGTGACGTGCTCTTTTTGGCTGATTGAAGACTAGACGCGCCGCTGCATTCTGGACCATTTGAAGAGGTCTCACAGTACAGCCTGGAAGACCAGTTAGAAGGGCATTGCAGTAATCGAGGCAGGAGATGACAGTAGATTGCACCAGGAGCTGGGTGGCATGTTGTGTTAGGTATGGTCTGATTTTTCGTGTGTTATGCAGCGCAAAGCGGCATAAATGAGCAACAGAGGCAACATGATCTTTAAAGGTCAGGTGTTCATCAATCACAACACCCAAATTTCGAACTGCCTTTGAAGGAGCCAGAGATAGGAAGTCATTTTGGATTGAGATATTGTGCCGTATGGATGGTTTTGCTGGGATGGCAAGTAGTTCAGTTTTAGAGAGGTTGAGTTGGAGATGGTGGGATTTCATCCATTTTGATATGTCAGAGAGACAGTTTGATATTCGTGGAGAGACAGTGTGGTCGCCCGGTGGAAATGACAGATAGAGCTGGGTGTCATCTGCATAGCAGTGGTAGGAGGAGCCATGTGATTGAATGATCTCACCCAGTGAGGTGGTGTATAGGGCAAAGAGAAGAGGTCCTAGTACAGAGCCCTGGAGGACTCCTGTGGCAAGATGGTGCACGGTAGAGGATTGTCCAAGCCAAGATACACTGAACGATCGTCCTGTGAGGTATGATTCAAACGAGGCGTGTGCTTTCTCTGTGATGCCCATGCTAGAGAGTGTGGACAAAAGGAAGCCATGGTTGACAGTGTCAAATGCAGCTGATAAGTCGAGGAGGAGAAGCACTGAGGATTTGTCAGTCGTTGTAGCTTCTTTTAAGGATTCCATCACTGCTAACAGAGCAGTTTCAGTGGAGTGGCCCTTTGTGAACCCATATTGGTAAGGGTCAAGCAGACAGTTTTGTGAGAGGTATTCTGTGATCTGCTTGAAAGCCACCCTTTCAATGATTTTGGACAGAAAAGGGAGGAGAGAGATAGGTCGGTAGTTCTCCACATGATTTGGAGGAAGAGATGTTTTTAGCAGCGGTTTAACCTGAGCATGCTTGAGAGAGATGGGAAATGTACCGGATGTCAGTGAAGCGTTGATCACATGTGTGACTGCTGCGGCTACTGTAGGAGCAATAGCTTGGAGCAGCTTAGTCGGAATGGGGTCCAGTGGGCATGTAGTAGGGCGGCTGCACGTGAGAAGCTTGGACACACAGTTCTCAGTGAGAGGGGAAAAAGAGGAAAATGAAGCAGTAGGGCTTGAGATGGTTGGGCTAGAAGGAGTTTGTGGTAGCGAATGTTCAGGAGTGGCCAGTCGAGTAAACTGTTTGCTTATAGCTGCCTCTTTGTCAGGGAAGAATGAGGCAAAGGTGTCAGCTGATAGATTGTTGGTAGGAGGTGGAGATGGAGGGTTGAGCAGAGATTTGAATGTTGAAAATAGTTTCTGAGAGTCAGTAGAGCTGAGAATTTTGTCAGTGTAGAAAGCTTTCTTTGTATCAGTGATGCTGGCAGAGAATGAGGACAGTAATTCATGAAATTTCAATTGATCACCAGGATCTTTTGTTTTGCGCCATTTCCGTTTCGCACGGTGCGCCAAGGCTGCGACTGAGAGGATCTAGCAGGTCTAGTGACTTCAGATTTCTGCTTGAAGCAAGATTTGAATCAGTGATGCCCTGGTCCAACAGCAGGATCAGCTTTAACATTCTTCAGTGCAATGTAAATTATTTTTGTTAGTTATGTGACGTTCATGAACAAATCAAATATTTTGAGTGGCTCTTCAGAGTCCTTGTAGAGAACTGTTCCATTTTGTCTTTCAGTAACCAGATGTACCCCACCTCCCCCCACAGACACAGGGGACTGTTTTGCTTTTTTGTAATTGTAATTAATCTGAAAACAGCAGGGGTTGGCGTTGTACCGGTCTGTCGTGGTGAAGAGAGAGCTGAGCCGGAATGCAAAGCTCTCGATTTATTGGTTGATCTACGTTCCTACCCTCACCTATGGTCACAAGCTTGGTGTAGTGACCAAAAGAACAAGATTGCGGATACAAGCGGACAAAATGGGTTTTCTTCACAGGGTGGCTGGACTCTCCCTTAGAGATAGAGTGAGAAGCTTGGTCATCCGGGAGGGGCTTGGAGTAGATCCGCTGCTCCTCCACATTGAGAGGAGCCAGTTGAGTTGGCTCAGGCATCTGGTTAGGATGCCTCCAGGATGCCTCACTGGTGAGGTTTTCCGAGCACGTCCAACTGGGAGAAGAATAAACAATCAATGATGAACAATAGTCTGCTTCTAGACCTGCAGAAAGAGAAAAACAAACAACAACAAAAAGGGGACACGCAACTATACAAGAGTGTCAACATAATGAGGAAATATAAAATTACCATTGTTTTACTGAACAATCACACGATAATAAATCACAGTGCATTTAGTGCCAACCACAGCCTTAAGACGTGTTGAAAATGCCCAAGTCCATACTTATGAGAGCACCATGTGAGCACCTGTGTGCGTACACGCACTTGTATGTGTAAGGTTTCTCTATAGGAGCATCCAATAGTGAGTGTGAAGGGCCACAGATCTGCCCCCAAAGATGCGTAGAAGATGGAGGGAACTCCAAGCCCCAGAAATCCAGGAGGTATCAGCTGGCAAGCCCACAGGCCTGCCCGCAGCCTTCAACTCGTAAACTGGCCAAGCCCGGAACCCAGCAACCCAGGACCCAGGGGCAACCAGCCCTGCCAGGGACTCAACAGAGCCCAGGGTCTCAGATCCCACCAGGCAGCCACCAGAATCAATCAGACAATTGCCAAAAATCCCCCTGACACGGGAGCCGCAAACACTCAGTTAACTCTATCAAAAGCCTTTTCTGCATCTAGAGATAATATACTAGTTTCTATGTTTCAACTGTAAGAGAAATCTATCAGGTTAAGTAATCTACGTGAGTTTGTGGATGACTGTCTACTCTTAATGAAACCAGTTTGGTCAGGGTGTATTATGAAAGGGGGTTACCTTCTCTAGTAATTTTGTGAGAGCTTTACAAATTATTTTGAGATCAACATTAATAAGAGAAATTGGGCGGTAGGAAATGCAGGGTCTTTGCCAGGTTAAAACAAGAACAGACTAATATTGGCTGAATTCATCAAAAATTATTTATTTGTTTGTTTATTTATTTATTCTAGAACAAGAGATTAAATTATTACAAAAAGTAAAAAAGATGTACCAGACAAAGCTGAAGTTGGTTCTTATTTTAACTTCAGAGTCAGAAAGTGTAATTCCAACAAATATTTCCACTACCCAAACATCTTTACTCTGCTCTAATTGTAAGTGTACATCACTTAAACTCTTCAAACCTGGACTAGGTTATTATGCACTAATAACAGATTCCTTAAAAGACAGTTTCTGATTTTTAAAACCTTTATTTGATTTGTAAAAGTTCAAAGAAAACTGAGTTCAGCACGTTTCTAGGCCACATTAGAACTGGCTCAACTCCAAATCTACATGTAGGCTCTTTAAACCATAACTAGATAATTTCAAATTAATAGCAGTCCTTAAAACATAGTTTGTGGTTTGTGAAAACTTTATTTGATTTATAAAATACAAATTTCAAAACTTTTTTCCTCTGGTCCAACTTAGATGTAGTCCAGCTAAAAACTACAACTCCTAGACTCTTCACACCTGGACTAGATTATTCTACATTAACAACAAAAAATGGTATTTTGTGACACATTTAGTAGATTAATGAAAGTTTAAAGAAGGCAAATTATTCAATTATTTTTTGTGAGTTTGAATTGTCATATTATCAACGTATTTTTTCCACACCATAGGTTGAGGTTTATAATCACTAAGCTATTTTGAGAGTTCAGATTGTGTGTGTGTGTGTGTGTGTGTGTGTGTGTGTGTGTGTGTGTGTGTGTGTGTGTGTGTGTGTGTGTGTCAGAAATCTCCACATGCCCCACACTTTAAAAAGCTTGCTACGCCCCTGGGCTGCTGTCCCAGCGACCCGACTCTGGATAGGCGGCTGAAAATGGATGGATGGATAAATAATCTGATTACTTTTTGAAACATTTGGGGGTTTTGTAAACTACTTTATGTAAAAGCTGACCTTGTGACAGTTACAATGCGCCATTCCCAGATCATATGGCCACAGCTTTATCATTGTGTTTTAGTGTGATCTAATTGAATGTCATGTAACTTTTTCCTTTCTAGGCAGGATAATGAACAGATTCACCAAGGACATGAACATCATTGATGACATGCTACCCTTCATGCTTTTTGACCTCATACAGGTATTCGGGCGATGGTTGATGATGTTCCACAGCAGTCTGATCACAGTTTATTTTAGCTGTTTTTAACCATAGTTTCTGTTCTACGCTAAGTGATCCACATGTTACATTTAAATGATCATTATTTATTCTCTACAAACTAATAAAAAGCAAACCTGCTCTTAATGACTACAGCTTAGTGTTTATTCAGAGCAGCTATACTCAGCATAGGGGGTTTCTGCTGTCTCAGTCTAGCTTTTGTTCCCTCCCATCAGCTTACTCTGCTCGTCGTTGGATGCATCTTCACTGTTTCCATCATGAGACCATATATCTTCATTGCTGCCATCCCACTGGCTGTCATCTTTGTTGTCATCAGGAAGTATTTCTTACGAACTGGACAGCAGCTCAAACAGCTGGAGGCTGAAGGTGTGTGTGTGTGTGTGTGTGTTACCTGTAATGGAGTTTTCCAAGATGTACAAAAACTTTAATAATGAATATACATAATGCTTTTCAAGACGCTCAAAGCCAGGGGGGCAGCATGGAGCTCTACGGCATGCATCCAACACTACACCATAGTAGAAGTAAAAATTACTGTTGTTTACAACATGGCATTCCAGCAGTTTTTAACAGCGTCCTCGTCTTTTCCGACAGTGCGACCTATTTCTCTCCAAGAATTATTAACAACATGTTGATCACGGTGATCTTTGAGAGCTGAATCATACAAATGTCTGTATTTACAAACCTCTGCCATACTAGTTCTTGCCGGTCCGCCATGTTTTTCCGCGTCCGCGTGGTTAGAAAATTTCCTAGGTGCGCGTTGCGGAAATTTTGGGCTGTGCGGAGGCGCGGTGGAGGGGCGTGGTTGTTAAAATGACGCAAAATGACACAACTTTTCCGCGCGGTGCCGTGCGGACCCCGCGGACACACCAAGCATAAACCAACCTTTAGGCGACTGGGTTTAGTGGAACCAGTTGACTTGGTTAAGTAAATTTAACATTTCATTTCTGAGCGTGTTGTGGTATCTGCCTACTTAGTAGGAGTAGGCACCTTAGGCTGAGAACATACATGTGTAGGTGTGTTCTCATGGCTACAAGATGCTGCCTGCGTCAACGCCAGGTTAAAAGCAAGTTTATTCCCAGCCTTAAAGATAAGGTGAGGAGATATGTCATCCTCTCAAAGCTCAAAGTGGAGCCACTGCCCCTCCTCATCAAAGAGCACTCAGCAGTGGTGGTTCAGGTATTTGATAAGAGTTCCTCCCGACATGCAGCATTATTATCCGTAGTCTCAAGGGGTCTCCAACAGGTTCACAGGGACGGATGGAGTAGAGCCGAATCTCTAACTACCCGTCAAGCCTGTGATTGGTCAGGATGCTGCCTCCTTTAACTATGCCAACATCACCGCCATTCCCCATCAAAACATAAAACAAGACCCAAACATATCTACCGGCAGAAACACGGAACAGATTGAAGAATGCCTTCTGGAAAAAGTCCGATGATGCTTACCTTATGTTTTCAGCATTAGAAAATGAAACACGTCATGTGTTTTCTGATGAAGATGCCCTTCTGTCAGCTGGACTTCCTGCTCTGCCCTGAGTTCTGTCAGAGCGTGTTTTAGCGGTGAAGCAAGGCGTTTCCGGGCCTGATCAGGGTCGCAGCGATGAGCCGAGCTGGGATTTCCTTCAGCCATATCCTGGTGTTTTTCCCGCCCTTGCTTTACGCAGCATGTCAGATGAAATGCAGTGGAAACTCCACGCGTTAGTCAACAGTCTGAGCTGCATTCCTCACATATGTAGATGATGTAGGCTTTTCCAGTATTGTCTGAAGGTATCTGCTTAACACAGCCTTTAAAAACAGAGATGAACAAAGGGATTCCAGGCTGTCTCATTGGGCTCCTGCTGAAATAGCTGTGAGCTGACAGTATTGTTTCTGTGAAGAATGTAAATGTCTGAAATGTTGGAAACTTTCTGCACAAAGTGACAGAAATTATCTTTTGTTTTTGATTCTGTAACGGTTGTTATTCATATTTATATTTTATTTATAGCTATTCAACAGCATTTTTGAGGCATGGAAGCAAAACCAGTGTTTCTCTGGTCAGTCTAGAATAACCTGAAGTTTTTATAAAACAACTGAAATCATACAATAATAAACCAAGAGCAGAGGATAGCTGAAAGGTCAGAGTTCAGGAGACTTACAGCCTCAGGGAGGAAGCTGTTCCTCAGCCTGGTTCTCCAGGCTTTGAAGCTACTTCACCTTCTGTCACTTAAGTGTCAGGGAGGAAAAGGAAGCAGGAAGAAGAAACAATCTCATATCAGATGAGCGATTCAGACTTTTTACTAATGCTTGAAAAATGTCCTGCTTTTCATCCAGATGTTTAAAATGTTCCTTTTCTTATTTTTAGCCCACCTCTGCACAAATTTATGACTGAGTTTCAGAAATGTGGTTGTGGATGCAGTCTGACCTGAATAAAGGGTTAGGGTTGGGCTGGTTTTCAGAACATCTGTTTGCTGAAGAAGGTTTTTTAATGAAACAGAGGATGTTCTGGGTTCCTCCTGACATGCAACGTCTGATGATACAGTCCATCTTAGTTCTCTAAAAGATTCTTCTTCCTTTTCACTCATGGCTCATGTTTTAGTACAGGGAGCGCAGAATTATTAGGCAAATGGATATTTTGTCCACATCATCCTCTTCATGCATGTTGTCTTACTCCAAGCTGTATAGGCTCGAAAGCCTACTACCAATTAAGCATATTAGGTGATGTGCGTCTCTGTAATGAGAAGGGGTGTGGTCTAATGACATCAACATCCTATATCAGGTGTGCATACTTATTAGGCAACTTCCTTTCCTTTGGCAAAATGGGTCATAAGAAGGACTTGACAGGCTCAGAAAAGTCAAAAATAGTGAGATATCTTGCAGAGGGATGCAGCAGTCTTAAAATTGCAAAGCTTCTGAAGCGTGATCATCGAACAATCAAGCGTTTCATTCAAAATAGTCAACAGGGTCGCAAGAAGCGTGTGGACAAACCAAGGCGCAAGATAACTGCCCATGAACTGAGAAAAGTCAAGCGTGCAGCTGCCAAGATGCCACTTGCCACCAGTTTGGCCATATTTCAGAGCTGCAACATCACTGGAGTGCCCAAAAGCACAAGGTGTGCAATACTCAGAGACATGGCCAAGGTAAGAAAGGCTGAAAGACGACCACCACTGAACAAGACACACAAGCTGAAACGTCAAGACTGGGCCAAGAAATATCTCAAGACTGACTTTTCTAAGGTTTTATGGACTGATGAAATGAGAGTGAGTCTTGATGGGCCAGATGGATGGGCCCGTGGCTGGATTGGTAAAGGGCAGAGAGCTCCGGTCCAACTCAGACGCCAGCAAGGTGGAGGTGGAGTACTGGTTTGGGCTGGTATCATCAAAGATGAGCTTGTGGGGCCTTTTCGGGTTGAGGATGGAGTCAAGCTCAACTCCCAGTCCTACTGCCAGTTTCTGGAAGACACCTTCTTCAAGCAGTGGTACAGGAAGAAGTCTGCATCCTTCAAGAAAAACATGATTTTCATGCAGGACAATGCTCCATCACACGCGTCCAAGTACTCCACAGCGTGGCTGGCAAGAAAGGTATAAAAGAAGAAAAACTAATGACATGGCCTCCTTGTTCACCTGATCTGAACCCCATTGAGAACCTGTGGTCCATCATCAAATGTGAGATTTACAAGGAGGGAAAACAGTACACCTCTCTGAACAGTGTCTGGGAGGCTGTGGTTGCTGCTGCACGCAATGTTGAAGGTGAACAGTTCAAAACACTGGCAGAATCCATGGATGGCAGGCTTTTGAGTGTCCTTGCAAAGAAAGGTGGCTATATTGGTCGCTGATTTGTTTTTGTATTGTTTTTGAATGTCAGAAATGTATATTTGTGAATGTGGAGGTGTTATATTGGTTTCACTGGTAAAAAGAAAATAATTGAAATGGGAATATATTTGTTTTTTGTTAAGTTGCCTAATAATTATGCACAGTAATAGTCACCTGCACACACAGATACCCCCCTAAAATAGCTACAACTACAAACAAACTAAAAACTACTTCCAAAAACATTCAGCTTTGATATTAATGAGTATTTTGGGTTCATTGAGAACATGGTTGTTTTTCAATAATAAAATTATTCCTCAAAAATACAACTTGTCTAATAATTCTGTACTCCCTGTATTTGCAATAATTAGATGTTAACTTTAACCTAATGTTAAACATAACACATTGATGCTCAAATGCACCTAGAATAAAATCATTGTTCTCCAAGTTCCTGCCAAGTGTGATCCATAGTGACTCCTTCTCATTGTAGTGAAGTTCAGAGGTGTATTTCTCCTCCCTTGTACAGCTCGCAGCCCGATCTTCTCCCACCTCATCATCTCCCTGAAGGGTTTATGGACCATCCGGGCATTTGGACGTCAGACATACTTTGAAACCCTCTTCCACAAGGCCCTGAACACTCACACAGCCACCTGGTTCCACTACCTGTCCTGTCTCAGGTGGTTCCTCTTCCGCTGTGATGTCCTCTTTGTGATGTTCTTCACTGCTGCAGCCTTCATCGCAGTGGGAACTAACCGTGAGTCACAGAAATGAGTTGGAGCTCAGATATTTGTTGCTCAAATCAACACATTCTCACACCCAAAGTGTCGAAAACTGACGATGGGTGACCAAGCGTTTGTTTCCGTCACGTAGGGAGCCCCAACACTTCGGGAGCCGATGCGCAGTGTCAGAGCATCGTTTTCCAACTCCTGCATTAAAACCCACATCTCAGCAACATTTAACCTCTAACCTCTTGCTATTTAACCTTCCCCTCACCCCCATCCTAACCTTAACCCTGTTTCTCATTCTAAACTTCCCGTTCACTGTGGTTGAGAGGGACATAACAACTAGGAACAAAGCTTTGCATGCGCAAGAGGGTTAGGATGGGGTGAGCGGAAGATTAAATAGCAAGAGGCTAAAGGTCCGAATTCAGTGAAATCTCCGTTTTACCGCAGGCATTGGAAACCGACGCTCTGGCACAACGCTTTGCCTCCCTACGCATCGGAAACAAACGCTTGGTCACCCATCGTCAATTTTCAGCACTTAAGGTGTGAGAATGTGTCGCTCAAAAACATTTAAACTGAAGCTAACTTGTTTCAGAGTGCAGAGTAGGATGGAGAAGACAACTAGGGAGTACATACTTTTTTCAGGAAAATCCTCTCAAGATGACCTGTACGAGAGGCACAAAGACATTTGACTCAGTGCTTTATTAAGTATTTTCTCCAAGAAAAGACCTAATTGTATTACATCCTCCTAACATGCTAACTACAGGGTTTGCTAATAATTATCTGTTGTTAACAAGTCAATAAGCTTGTTCCTGCTTGAGGTCTTCGAGCAGCAGTATGACATCATCTGGACCAGGACCGCTGGAAAGGACAAAACACCAAAAGGAAGCACGTGTTTGTTTTATTACATGGATGGGACCACACACCCACCCACCTCTACATACACACACACACACACACACACACACACAGGTGTTATTGCGTCACAGACTGTATTTATGCTGAGTGCAGGTTTAAGGGTCATTTCACAGCTCATTAGTTTCCAATGAGGCCAGAAGCATAGCTGTAATAGTGAGAGCAGCATCAGAGTTCACTTTTGATTGGATGGTGCTGATAAATCTGTGTGTGTGTGTGTGTGTGTGTGTGTGTGTGTGTGTGTGTGTGTGTGTGTGGTGGGGGGTTCTCTCCATAGAGGACAAACCAGGAGAAATAGGTATCGTTGTGGCTCTGGCTATGCTCATTCTGGGGACCTTCCAGTGGGCTATCATCACCAGTATCAATGTGGATGGACTAGTATGTAGCACACACACACACACACACACACACACACACACACACACACACACACACACACACACACACACACACACACACACACACACACACACACACACACACACACACACAACTTTGAGGGTTTGATAAAAACATGCAAAATTTCTCATTTCTCCCAGCTTCTCCCCCCCCAATGGTTGAAATTAACTACAACTGTTGCCTGCTGTAGCTAACGCTAACAACAAGCTAATGCTAATTTTAGCCAACTGGTACTAAATAAAAGATCCTCACTGTTGGACAAAAAAACTATTATTACTAACAGTAGCAACAAAGCCAGGTCTCAATTAGTCCGTGATTTTTTAGCCTCCTTTAGCTCCCTCAAACCAGTGTCGGCCGCGCCGATGTTCACTTTGATTTTAGCTCTTTGCTTCTCCTCCAAAGATATCCCTCTGTTACTTTCTCTCTGAGTTTCTCGGTCGGAAAAAGAGTCGTTAACAAGCGTGCTCACGAGCACACACAAAGAGCAGACTCACTGCTCAGGGGAAGAGCAGACACAGAAACTGCCTGCAAGAAGGGTGATATCCTCTTAACTGAGGTTGCTAGGGAGGAGGACAGTGGTGGCGCCAGGGGGGTGCCAGGGGGCGCTATAGCTACCCTGGATCAGTCATAGCACCTCAAGTAAATATTAGATTTGTTTTTTTACAATTTAATTTCAATTTAACGTGTGGATGTGATAATATTTAACATACAAAACAAAAATAATCAGTAAATTATCATATAGATAGTAAAAACTTAAACCAAAACAGTAAATTGATGTTAACCTTTGACCTCATGTTCCACTTGCGAATGAGTGAAAGGTAGAGCTAGTGGTAAAATGGGTCGTTTTTTGTTGCCCACATTTCCACGGGTTCATTCAGAAACGAATGAATGTTTGGAAGTGATCTCAGACCCACAAAAACCTACGTATCTGGATGAAGAGAGTCAACCCTCAACCGCCGCAGCAGTCCAGGGTTTGGCTGCTGGAAATGCTAACACTAACATTAGCTAACCTTGCAACACTCTAGATGGTTTTCTGTGTGGCTGTATGTGTTTATGATTTCATGGAAAAGTCAGCGATTGTTCACATGTTTATGATTTATATTAATGATTGTTTCAGGTGTTGTTGAGGTTTTGTGCACGCATGTGTATCTGCTGGTGTTGAAGGTGTTTTAGAGAACAATAGGTACGCATGACCACTTCCTTCATAGCACCCTCAATAAAAAGACTAGCTCCTTCATAGCACCTGCAGAAAAACATTTCTGGAGCCGCCACTGGAAGAGGATGTTTTTCTAAGGAGGTGAGTGGCTCCGAGCACCAACGTGTCATATCAGCAGGTGAGTGGTTGAGCCAGGTGGAGGTGCAGCAAGACTCAGCAGGAGTCCAGTGCATTGCAGCCACATAGTACTGTACAGACTGGCTGATTCTAACTCGGTGTGGAGCAGAGTTTTAACCTGAAGAATGAGATATCATTACAGTTTTGGGCTGAAATTGTATAATTTAAGTAAGTTGCACTAAACTGCCAAAATAATGACACATGTCTACAGCTCTATTAGACACTCATCCACACAGGTAATCAGCAAAAAAAAAAGAAAAGCTGATTTAGGTGTTACTCTCACTTTACGTACAGTTTCTGACCAGCAGAGGGCTACAGAGTGCTGTCCCATGTGGAGTTGCTCAAGTTTCTGGCTCAAGAACCACTGAAACCAGTTTGAAAGCAACGGCTTAAAGTGTTAAAAACTCTAGTGTTGCCTTAAGAAGAAGACAAAATTTAGCAGGCCTCCGCGAGATAAATTATCGTCACACCAAGTAAACTTTTCGTATTTTCCTTGTAAACTTTCCTTTCCTTGAGCCAGATGCTAACATGAATATATAGGGTTTGAATTAACAGATTCTCAGCCACCTCGGCTCCTTCCGGGCAGAATACCGCCTTTTGCAACTTGAGTCTCTCTGGACCGGTGAAATGAAGTCTCAAGAGAGTCACGTATCTCGTGAGAAGCAGTAATGCTATACTGCAATACACGTTTGCCCGTTTCCTGCTTCTTTCCATATTTATATTTCCTCAGACATTTCCTTTATTGTTAATAGAAAAAATTCTGCCCCAGCTCCCCCTGCTCTCACGGAGACCAGAGCTTTGCTCACACAACACCCAATCATGAAATTAATTTAAATGTGACTTTTTTAAAGAATCTTATAATTTGACACACAACCAACTGAACCAAAACATAGGAAGTACCAAACCTGCACAGGGCAGAATTCAGTCCACCTGTTTTCTCCTCTCAGATGCGTTCAGTGGACCGGGTGTTCAAATTCATCGACCTGCCATCAGAGGAGGTCCTACTGGGTAAATCTGGAGGCAGAGGAGGTTCCGACTTCATCATCAACAACCCCCACATGTACGACTACTGGCCCAACCGAGGTCAGCTGGACGTCCAGGATCTCACTGTTAAATACACCGAAGCTGGGCGAACCGTGCTCAACAACATCTCCTTCTCTGTGGAGGGGGGGCAGAGCGTGAGTCCCAACCTTAACTACACTTTAGTATTCCCAGTAGATCTCTTCATGTTTTTGTCTGTTTGTTAACAAAAAATATCTGATGACCAGTAGATGTAAATTTAGTTCAAGTTGATTCTTTTGGACTCTTATGTTGTCCTGGCAGTAAATAAATCCTGACTTCCTGTTTGCTTGTCTAACTGTTGCTGTTAGCATGTGGAATAAATACATCTTGCCTTTAATACATATCTTTTTTGATTCCTTTACTTTTTTGAAGTGTGTTTCTGTGTAAAACTACCTCGCCTGTTGCAGATAATTTCCTGAACATTCTCTGTTTGTAAGTAAAGTCTGCATTATTCAGCAGAGATGGGAATTGTGGCATCAACAAGATAACTTCATGCTGTGATTTTGTTCTGCTAGGCAACTGGACCAGGTTCATTCTCTGTGCTGACTGAAATCACCTGGTTTACCTGCTGGACTGAAGAAAAACCCGGCATGGAGAAGACTTGTTGATGCCACAATTCTCAATTTCTGCTATTCAGGACTGATATGCTAATGGATAGTCTGAGTGCATTACTGCAAACATTATTTAATAAACTTTTACACTGCTGTGATTATCACATCTCACATTTAGATTCCCACATATCACCAGCAGAAGCAAATTTCAGCACTTCTGGGGACCGAGTCAATGTGTCAAATGATACAATTCTTTAAAAAAGTCACATTTAAATTAATTTCTGTGAAATTCAGGAGATTAAAGTTGTTTTAAAACAGTAGGAACACACACACAACAGCCAGGCTACAGTCTTAACCGACTGTAGCCTGGCTGTTAGCATATCAGTCCTGTAAGGCATAAACACTGTTTTCCTGAACCGAGGCCCCTCAGGAATCAGTCATTTTTACTCAAAATTGAACTTTGAAGTAGTCAAAATATCCTTGTTTGTGTGTGTGTGTGTGTGCGTGCGTGCGTGTGCGCGTGCGCGCGTGCGTGTGTGTGTGTGTGTGTGTGTAGGTGGGTCTGCTAGGTCGAACAGGTTCAGGAAAGAGCACCCTGCTGTCGGCTCTTCTGCGCCTCACAGCCACTGAAGGAGAGATGTCTATCGACGGGGTTTCCTCAAGCTCCATTCCTCTGCAGATGTGGAGGAAGGCCTTTGGAGTGGTGCCACAGGTGCAGACGTGATGCTGACCTGAACAGCCATAGTTTTTTGTCTTTGCCAGATTGGAAGGACTAAAAATGAAAGTATAATGTTTGCATGTTTGTTCTTTTCCCCCAGAGAGTTTTTATTCTGACCGGATCTTTCCGTATGAACCTGGACCCTTATGGACGTTACAGTGATGAGGAGCTGTGGAGGGTAGCGGAAGAGGTCAGACTCCTTTTACTCTCATGATAATTAAACTTCTGATTGGTAGACTGATCTGATCAGATAGGAATAAAGTCAATTAAAGGGAATGGACCCGATGGTTCAAGTGATAAGCCTCATAATTATAGTGCTGTGCTCCTTAACATATCACACTTTAAGATTGGCAGTTCTAGGGGTCAGGTCACAGGGCCATTGGCCCCCTGCTGAAATCTGATTGGCCCCCTGAAGTGCCCCTGTCCTATCACTCATCTGTTCTTTGTGATGATCAGATAATCAGCGGATGCAGTTCTAAATCCAACCACTAGTGGTGTTATGAGTCATTAGGAAGTTCCTGCATGACGTGTTGGACTCTGTGTGGTGGCCCCGTACTCGGAAAACCCTAGATCTGCCACTGCACTCCAAACATTTCTGATCTGCAAACACATTCTAATATCAGGCAAACTAACTTGATGATTTCTTCTGCAGATGAAACAGAAAAAATGAGAATCTGGTGCAAAGTCCATTTATGACATTAATCCGTATCAGACTGAGAGACCATCTAAAGGCTCAGGAACCCTCTACAGGTGTTCTGGGTTCATTAGCTGATTAGTGTGGGACTCTTTGTGTCTGAGATTTTGAATGTGGGGTTTTCCTCGGCTGTGAGCCATAATCATCACGGTTATAACAAATAAAGGTGAAATATCTGGCGTTGCCTGGAATGAGTCTGTCTCAGAGATTAGTTTCACCTTTTAAGTGGAATAAATGACATGATTGAACTTTAGCACGAGACTTCTAGTTTTTTGGGTTTCACCAGAATGAAGGGAATAGAACTGGAGTTCAGTTCTATGAGAAACATCTAGACCTGATGATCTATGGAATCAAAGAAATCACTTCACAGAAACTTCTGACTACATGAAGCAGGCTAAAAGATTAAAAAAACACTTCACGGTCCATTTGTGTGGAGAAATTTGTTCCAAAATAAATCAAATCATTACTTTCAAACTATTTTGTATTTACTCAGTGCTGTGGTAGCATTTACCCTGCTTCTGCTTTTTTTTTTAATCAAACATTTTCAGGATCAGACAAAGAAACACCAGATAACAGGTTTCATTCTACTCTGACCTTCACCCTCAGACACAGCAGAGTTTAACTTCTCTCTTGTTGCTGCAGGTTGGGCTGAGATCAGTCATCGAGCAGTTTCCAGACAAGCTGGACTTCCAGCTGGAGGATGGAGGCAGCGTGCTGAGCAACGGACACAAACAGCTCATGTGTCTGGCCCGCTCCATCCTCAGCAAGGCCCGCATCCTGCTCCTAGATGAGCCTTCTGCCTACCTCGACCCAATGTCAGTGCCATGAGAGCCCAGAATCCTCTTGGTTTGCTTTGATCATTAACATCATTTAAACCAAACAAATGCAAATGGGAGGAAAAAACAGATGGTTCCTTTAACACATAGCTCATCTATGGTTCCATCAACCCTCTCCTGTCTAATAACATAGCAGCTTTGGTCACTGGAAAAGCAGATGAGTTCTATGGTCTTCTCTCTGAGCTCCTCAGACTGATCTGGTCTTCTCCAGTGTGGTCCACACCACGATACCAGACTACCCAGCAGCTGGTTTGTTCCCTTTAAACTGGCTGATGAAAAGCCTGAAGGCTCCTGTGACACAAATGAAGGTTAAACAGTGTAGTAGTATCTTTAGGGGTACCATAAAATATCTATAAGCTATTTTAGCAACAAATATACAGGTGGTGGTCCTAAAATTAGAATATCATAAAAATGTTGATTTATTCCAGTAATTCCATTCAAAAAGTGATACTTGTTTATTAGATTTAGTCTTTCCACACAGTCTGTTATATCTCAAATGTTTATTTCTTTAACTCTGACGATTATAACTGACAACTAATGAAGATCCCAAATTCAGTATCGCGGAAAACTAGAACATTAATTAGGACCAATGTAAAAAAGGAATTTTAGAAACGTTGTAGGAGCATGAAAAGTATGATCATGTACAGCACTCAACATGTAGTCTGGGCCCCTTTGGCCCAGAGCACCAGACGGCCAGCTCAGTGGCCTAGTGGTAGAGTGTCTGCCCTCAGTCTGGGAGATCAGGGTTCAAATCCCAGTCCGATCATACCAACGACGTTATGAAAATGGGACACAATGCCTCACTGCTTGACGCTCAGCTTGAAGGGGTTGGATTGGGGGGGTTATACTGCCCTATGGCTCCTGAGTGTAGCTGTGTCTGCAGCTCACCACTGCCCCAGGGGATGGGTCAAATGCAGAGAACTAATTTTGTACACACATCAGTGTGTGTGACAACTAACGGGACTTTAACTTTAATTACTGCAGCAATGTGACGTGTCATGGAGTCCATCAGTCTATGGCACTGCTCAGGCGTTATGAGAGCCCATGTTGATATGATAGTGGCCTTCAGCTCTTCTGAATCGTTGGGTCTGGCGTATTGCATCTTCCTCTTCATAGTTCTCCATAGATGTTCTATGGGGTTGAGGTCAGGTGAGTTTGCTGGCCAGTCATTAAACCAGGTATTGGTAGCTTTGGTGATGTGTGCAGGTGCCAAGTCCTGTTGGAAAATGAAGTCTGGATTAATCTGATCTACGAGTTTCACTTTTAATGGAATCACTGGATAAACCAGCTTTGTTGTACAACCGTTTCCTTTCATGGTAATATTTCTTTACTCGCTAACTAGTCAAACCTTCAGATCTACTTAACCTTTATTGTCACAATCAAGTCCGCCGTCTCTGGATGAATCCCCAGTGAGATCTCTGGGACCAGTTAGATTTTAGTGGTTTGAGTGTAGGTGGAAGGTGATGTCTGGGGATGGGGGTGTTAAACTCAGTACTGGGTTTGGATGGGAACGCTGGTGAGCTGCTGGGCTCTCACACATGAACCTGAAAGCAATCATCTCTGTATATTTTCTTTGAGTTTGTGACATCCTGCAACAATTATTCACCCATGTGTGGAGCTCTAGTCCCAGCATGAGGTGACAATTGACCATGCTTCCAGTACCACGTGTGTGTGTGTGCGTGCATGCGTGGGTACATGCATGAGGGTGTGTGTGTGTTCAGAACAAGATCATGAGGGTAAGTGAAGCCTGTAATGAGTCCAGCTTTGGCTGCAGGGTGAACTGTGTGAGCAGTGGAAGGAGACGGCCTTTGATGATGACGATGATTATGATGATGCATGTGTGTGTGATCAGAACTCTGCAGGTCCTGAGGAAGATTCTGAAGCAGTCGTTCTCCAGCTGCACCGTCATCCTGTCGGAGCACAAGATGGAGCCGCTGCTGGAGTGTCAGTCGTTCCTGGTGAGGTTGGGTTTATGTTCAGTGGTACTCAAGCTTTCAGTCACAGGTGAAGTCAGGATAGTTTTTATTGGATGTTTGGTGCTATGGAGTGATGACTGGTGTTTAGTTGTGTTGGTGTGTTAGTGACGACGGTTTGTACTGGAACAAGCTGATGTGATGTTAACGTATAAGTTTGCTGCAGAGTAAACCTGATCGTGCATCCTGTGCATCTGTGAAAAGTTTCCTATCCTGTTAACCAGCCGTGTTCGTCCCCCTGTGCAGATGATTGAGAACAGCTCCATAAAGAGCTACGACTCCATCCAGAAAGTCATGACTGAAATGAGTCACCTGAAACAGGCCATGAGCCCCGCCGACAGGCTCCGCCTCTTCCCAGCACTTCATCGTCTCAACTCTACCAAGAGGCCGCCACCCCCTAACACCAAAATCTCTTCTCTGCCCGAAGAAGCTGAGGATGAAGTCCAGGACACCCGACTCTAACACACACACACACACACACACACACACACACACACACACACACACACACACACACACACACACACACACACACACACTCACACACACACACGCGGACAAAACAAAGGTTTTAGTCTGGATCTGGAGGACTCTGGGTCATTCATGAAGCATCAACGGCAGCGTCTCAGTAACCGTGCTCTGCTACAGGATAACTCTTTTCATCCTGGATCACAATCTGCTACAATCAGCTTATTAAATATGAGGCGTTCAACATGGGAATTGTTTCCACGTTCACCAAAAGTGAATGTGTTTGTGGTTGTGCTAAACTAATCAGAGATTTTTGTCAGATTGAGGCCAATAAGGTCAAAAAGATAAAGCTCACTGCAGTTTAAAGATGACCTCTAGTGGCCATTTGAAGCATTACATCGTTCCTTCCTTAATCTGCAGTTGCTGCTTCTGATGTAGTTCAAAAATCAATAAATCCACATAATGAAAACAGACCAGAGGGAATGCATCGTTAGCTCTAATAAAAGCTGTGTGTGTTTCATTAGGCAGTCTGACCCCAGCTGTCAGCACATGCATCACGTGTGTAACGTGCTGACTGATGCCAACAGTCTGCCATGACTCATACTCATTTTTATCTACTTGTTTGCACTTTAGAGACAGCCTGGGGTACCTTTCACAGAGAGGAGAAAGAAGGTTTAGTCAAACGGAACATAAAGGAAGTCTTTAAATGACACAGAAGGGAAAAAAGTCAGTTATCTATTTGACACATAGTCATTTCTCATAGCAGCGTCTGATCTTTGGAGACATTTAAACGACTTAAGGATCATTTATTTTTTATTTTTGTTGAAGGAAAAACATTTTGCTCCATCAATATTGAATGATGTTTTAGGCACCAATAAGAAATGTAAGGTACTGTGGAGAAATGCTTTGATGTGCTGACTGTAATTAAATTAAAGGTTTTTCTTATTCATAGGAAAGGAACTGTATACTGTATAAATAAATGCATTTGTTAAATCACTTTCTGTTCTCAGTAAAAGATTTTGAGAGTTCAAATCCTGTTGTGTTATTTTTGTTCCAAAATGGATGGTTTTATTTTTGGATGTGCTGAAAAGTTTATATTGAATTTCTACCTGTTTGCCTAAAGGTTAAGTCTCCTTTTTCACTTAGAAGAACAAAAACCTGACGTACTCTTTACCAACTTATTCAAATCTAACCTCAAGTGTAGATAAACAAATTCCAATGTGAAATTATTAGTTAAAGAGCAAGTCACCCCTTACAAGAAGCGTACTTCACTCCCACTTCATGTTTAAAAAATGCAACAAATGCTGTTGCCTAGCAGACTGAGAGGGTGGCTGTTTGTTGTCCTCCCTGGCTGATTGGCTGCACCTGGCGGTAAGGCGTTTCCTGTTTACAGTGTTGCACTACGTGTAGCTGTTTGGTGTTTGGGGCTCGCTAAAACTGATTTAATTTCTCTGTACTAGGATATCTCTGAGTTATTGTAGCACATAAGCACGCTAAAACACACATTTCCTGTTGTTCCACCTAGCTTTTAGGGAACCATTTGAGTTTGCACGCACTTTATTTGGTATTGAACAGTTTGCTCATCCAGTTAGCTTAGCCTCAGCACGGCTATGGCTACTTCTGTCTCTGCTTCTCCGTCTCCTATCTCTTGCTCTCTGTGTCAGATGTTTAGTTATTCCTCTGCCTCCTTTAGTGATAATGGTACGTGTAATAAATGTAGCATTTTTGTAGCTTTGGAGGCGAGGGTGTCGGAATTGGAGTCCCTCCAGCAGAACCCGAGCAGCCGGGACCTCAGGCCGGCTGGGTGACGGTACGCAGGAAGCATAGAACTCAGTCCGTGGGCCACCACCAACCCGTCCACGTTTCTAACAGATTTTCCCCGCTCAGTGACTCACCCACTGACAAGCCGACTCTGATCATTGGCAGCTCCACAGTCAGAAACTAGGCATTAGAGACTCCAGCAACCATAGTTAAATGTTTACCTGGGGCCAGAGCAGACGACATTAAATCTTATCTGAAACTGCTGACTAAGGATAAGCGTAAATACAGCAAGATTGTTATTCAAGCTGGCGGTAACGACACCCGGTTACGCCAGTCAGAGGTCACTAAAATTAATGTTGCTTCGGTGTGTGTTTGCCAAAACAATATCGGACTCCGTAATTTTCTCTGGCCCCCTACCAGTGTTAATTTTGCTGACAAAATATTTTCGTCTTTTTTTTCGTCACGAAAATATATTTACAGACGAAAATGAAACAAAATTTCAAAATAAAAGCTTGGAAGTAGACGAAGACGATAATTAAATTGATTGAAACTTTTAGTCAACGAATGAAAGACGAGACAAAAATCCACGATGACGCCCTTCTACATGGCACTCTATGGTGCGGTGCGCCTATTGTGTTGTTGTGAGACGCGAACGTAGCAGAAGACAAGGGGCGTGGCGTGCCGTGAACATGCGGGACGTGAGAGAAGACAGACCCTGAATAGTATAAGGGGGCAGGTATGTGCGGTATGCTAAACATAGCTCACTGAATATATCGACGGCATAAGAAGAAGGAGTAGAGGAAAATGTTAACTGCTGGGCGAAAAAGAAGAGAAGATGTGTGGAGTCATTTTTCTTATGATAACATTGCTACCAAAACTACATGCCGACAGTGTGGACTGTTGTTCCGAGGAAAGAACACAACGAATCTGAAGAGGCATCTACAGAATGGCCACTTTGCCATTTTCTCCGAGGTAAATCCACTTAAATGTTGTACACGTGACGACCCGAAACGTAATATACAGGCAAATAAAACTGTATCAACTCTGTCATGTTGGGCTAAAAATTCGGAAGTACCGTATTTTCATGACTATAACCTGTGTTATTAGGGAAATAGCGGGCGAGCAGTGTTGATGCATGATTGCGCATGCGCCGTGAGCGGTTCTGTAACTTTTTGGGTCGCAGCCGCTCGCTGCGCGTGCGCTCTAAACCAGGACTAGACCAGTAAAGTGAAGCATGCTGTTGGCTGTTTATAATTTTCACAATGTCTGGTTTGCACTGATATGATCCGAGTCCCGAGCCCGCACAGATGTTTTACCGGTACGTTTTATAACCCGATGTGCCTTTTGCATGTGTTAAAGATCCCTCAGATGACAAGTTTTCCCCACTTGTAGCAGCTGCTTGCTTTTCAATCCTACTGTGTGTCAGACCCTCCTCAATTTGGCTGATGATAGCATTCAGGAGCTGCTCAAGCAGGCAGAAGGGTATGTTGTTCGGTGCTCTCAGACACAGGAGAACCACTCTGATCTGGAGGAACTGAATGGACCTGAACCGGCACCACCCGCCGCCGCCGCCTCCTCTTCATCATCTGCCTCCTCCTCCTCCAGACAACCAGTCTAGGTTTCTCTCCAAATTCAGAACAAAGCCTAAACCAAAGTCTTCCAAGTGTAGTGTTAGACAGCAGATAAGCCAGAATAAGGAAGAGCTCTCACAGTCCATCACTTGTGAAACGGGAATGGAGTTTTGGCTTGGAAAATGTGACACATTTTATCACAGCCTGAAACCATTAGCATTAGATATATTGGCAATGCCAGCTTCTCAATCTTTTGCAGAAAGAGTGTTCAGTATCACAGGTCACTAGAGGGAAACGCAACCAAGCAAAGGTCACACTAGCACGAAGTGCTTTTCTCAAAATGAGTCGCACCAAATAAATGTTCACACTGTTTGGTTGAGCCTGTCTTGTAACAAGTGAATATCTACAGACTCAGGGTTAACATGTTTAAATTTGCTGTTCTTGTAAATTCTTGTTGTGCAATAGCTAAAAATAGCACCTTTGTAATTTCCAGTGTGCTTTTTGTATTTTATTAAACACGTAAGTGTTAAACATGTGAAGTGTTTTTTTAATTCAAATATTCTATGTTCTTAGCTGTGTGTGCTATATCTGATCAGTGGTGGTTAAGAGTTTGGACCCTGTGTATTAAATTACACTAGTTTTTCCGTGCTCTATACAAAAGTAGGAAATTACTTCATTAGAAAAAACATGCATTTTGTTGACTAAAATTGCTTATTTTCATCGACTAAAATTACTTGTTATTTTGATCGACTAAAATGGGACTAAAACTAAAATAAATCTAATGACTAAAATTGGACTAAGACTAAAATTAATTTTTAGCCAAAAGACTAAGACTAAAATAAAATTAAAATTTCCTGTCAAAATTAACACTGCCCCCTGCCTGATCGGACCAGTGACGACATGTTTAGCCGCATGCTGTCCTTCAACCGCTGGTTGTCTAGGTGGTGTCCTGAAAACAACGTGGGCTACATTGATAATTGGAAAACTTTTTGGGGAAAACCTGGTCTGATGCGGAGAGACGGCATCCATCCCTCTTTGGATGGAGCAGCTCTTCTTTTTAGGAACATGGCCAGTTTTATTACTCCTCCATGACAACCCAGGGTCCAGACCAGGAAGCAGAGTCGTAGTTTAACACACCCCTCTGCAGCTTCTGTACTGTTACCCACCCACTACCCAATAGAGACAGTGTCCTGCCCACGGCCAAAATCACACAGATTAAATACCAGGCTTCACAAAGCAAATCATGGAAATCTCATAAATATTTGAACAAATTCAACTGAGCAGAAAACTAGAAAAAATTAAATGTGGGTTGTTGAACATTAGGTCTATTTTTTCTAAGACTTTGTTAGTTAATGAGTTGATTTGTGATAATCAGATCTCTTTGCTCTCTCTCACAGAATCCTGGCTGCAGCAAGAGGACTATGTTAGCTTAAATGAGTCGACTCCTTCTAATTATATAGATCATCATATTGCTCGAAGTACAGGGCGAGGAGGAGGAGTGGCAACCATTTTTCATTCGGACTTATTAATCAGTCCCTTACCAATTAATAGCTACAGTTCGTTCGAACATCTTATTCTTAGTTTTCCTAATCCAGATTGCAAAACTGTAAAACGACTCTTGTTTGTAGTTTTATATCGTCCACCAGGCCCTTACTCTGAGTTTTTGGATCAGATCTCTGATTTTTTATCAGATTGGTGCTAAATACTGATAAGGTCATTATAGTGGGGGATTTTAATATTCATGTGGACATTGAAAATGATTGCCTCAATGTAGCCTTTAGTAATATCCTAGACTCCAATTGGTTTTACTCAAAGAATACATAGCTCCACCCACTCCTGCCATCATACATTGGACCTTGTGCTGACTTATGGCATTGAGTGTGAGGAAATAACGATCTTTCCACATAATCCAGTCCTCTCGGACCACTTTCTGATAACCTTTGAGTTTTTTATAACTGAGTTCTTGAGACATGAAAGTAAATTTCATTATAGTCGGTCTCTATCTGACAACGCAGTTGCATCTTTTAAATCAACTGTTCCATCTTTACTGTCCTCAGCATCTCAGAGGCATGTAGCAGAGGGCAATATTTTCAGTTCTAACCCCTCACAAATTGATGCCTTAGTTCATCATGTTAATTCCTCTTTACGTGTGGCATTAGATGATGTTGCCCCTTTAAAAAAGAAGGTAATTAGGGACAGGAAGTTGGGTCCCTGGTTTAATTCTCATTTACGAGCCTTAAAACAAAACTCTAGGAAATTGGAGAGAACATGGCGCTTTACGCACCATGAGGAGGCCTACCTATCTTGGAAAACTAGTCTTGTGCTTTATAAAAATAAGCTTCGACAAACTAGAACTGCTTATTTTTCAGCACTAATTGAGGAGAATAAGCATAATCCTAAATTTCTTTTCAGTACAGTTGCTAAACGTACACAGAATCATAGCTCTGAGCCATCTATTCCCTTAGCCCTCAGTAGCAATGACTTCATGGGATTTTTTACAAGTAAAATTTATTCTATTAGAAACAAAATCTTTAGCATCCTCCCTAATGCAATTTCTTCTTCCTCAGTAAGTGAGGCAGCATCAGAGGTGACTGTACAACCTCATCTGTGCTTGAACCGTTTGGATCCAGTTGAGCTTTCAGATTTGTCAAAAATATTAGCTTCATCTAAACCTTCAACTTGCATTTTGGATCCAATCCCAACCAAATTATTTAAAGAAGCATTTCCTTTGGTTACTGCCCCCATTCTAGATACAATCAATCTATCCTTAGTAAATGGATATGTACCACAGGATTTTAAGGTTGCTGTAATCAAACCTTCACTTAAGAAGCCTTCTCTGGATCCAGATGACCCAATGAATTATAGACCAATATCTAACCTTCCATTTTTATCCAAAGTCCTGGAGAAAATATTGGCCATCCAAGTATGTGAGCATTTAAACACTAATGATCTGTTTGAGGAATTTCAGTCTGGTTTTAGAGAGTATCACAGCACTGAAACTGCATTAGTGAGAGTTACAAATTATATTCTCATGGCCTCAGATAATAATCTTGTGTCTGTTCTAGTCTTGTTACATCTCAGTGCTGCCTTTGACACATTTGATCACAATGTTCTTTTAGAAAGACTTGAACATGTTGTAGGGATCAAAGGAACAGCGCTAGGTTGGTTTGAATCCTACCTGTCTGACAGATTTCATTTTGTAAATGTACATGACAAATCGTCTTTATACTCCAGGGTTACTTGCGGAGTACCACAGGGTTCAGTGCTTGGACCAATTCTTTTTACTATATATATGCTCCCAATTGGTAAAATCATTAGACAGCATGGGATAAACTTCCACTGTTATGCTGACGATACTCAGTTATGTTTATCCATTAACCCTGATTAACCTAATCGGTTGGGTAGATTACAGGCTTGTCTTGAGGACATAAAAAATTGGATGACTCTAAACGTTTTGCTTTTAAATCAAGACAAGACGGAAGTTCTCATCTTTGGACCAGAAATCCAGAAAAGGAAATTGCTTAGCCAATCGCCTGACCTTAATGGCATTACATTAATCTCCGAGAACAAAGTAAGGAACCTTGGTGTTATCTTTGACCAGGACATGTCATTCAAATCCCAGGTTAAACAGGTTTGCAGGATTTCCTTTTTCCACCTTCGGAATATTGCTAAGATTAGAAGCATCCTTTCCAGGAGTGATGCTGAAAAACTAGTTCATGCATTTATTACATCAAGACTGGATTACTGTAATTCATTACTCACAGGAAGTCTACAGAATGTAGTTAAAAGTCTTCAGCTTGTCCAAAATGCTGCAACTGGAGTTCTGATGAGAATTAAAAACAGAGATTATATCTCTCCTGTCTTAGTTTCCCTACATTGGCTACCTGTTAAATTCAGAATAGATTTTAAGATCCTTCTTCTCACATATAAAGCTCTTAATAATCAAGCTGTATCAGTGATCTGATTGTTCCATACGTTCCTAACTTAGCACTTCGCTTTCAGACTACAGGTTTACTGATGGTTCCCAGAATATCTAAAATTAGGATGGGAGGCAGATCTTTTAGTTATCAGGCTCCTCTCCTGTGGAACCAGTTCCCAGCTTTAGTCCATGAGGCACACACTTTGTCTACTTTTAAGAATAGGCTTAAACATTTTTATTTGATAGGGCCCATGGTTAAAATCTGATGTTAGCCCACAAGTGGGGGAGTAGAGGGAGGTGGAGTGTACAGTCGGTAAAGACGGCTCTCCCTTGCCCTGCTTCCAACATGCCTCCATCTAAATAGGATAGATTATCCTGAGTTATCTCTGTAGTTATGCTGCTATAGGCTTAGACTTCTGGAGGATACACCGACCACTTTTCACACTCTACTGCTTTCTTCTACAATCTGCTCTTTAACTGTATTATTTTCTGCAATTTCAGCTGTTAACTTTATTTTCTCTCTGTTTTTCTCCCCAGAAGAAGCTACAATGATGTTCTGCTGAGCTGTGGTGGCCTCATGGATGGGGCCATTTGCTTAAACACTGCTGCTAACCACTCAAACATCCTCCCTTGCCTGATAACATTTTACTTTCTTTGACATTGAATGTGCTACTACTGGTTTACCAGTTGAATTTATTACATATTCACTAACATAAAGACAATAAAGTTGATCTCTTACTGAATAAAATATTTACAAAGAAATCCCAATGTAGCCATAGAAACACTACTTGGTATATATGTTGTGAGTGTGTCTGCTTTGTCTTATCAATCCCCAGTGAGTTGTGGCGGATGGCTGCTTATAAGCCAGGATCCTCTGGAGGTTTATTCCTGTTAAAAGGAAGGTTTCCTCTCCACTGTCGCTACATGCTTGCTTTAGTATGAGGATTGCTGAAAAGACATTGACACTAGTCAGTGACTTGCTGCAATTTGCTGGGTTCCTTAGCTAGGAAACATTTTACTGACTGGCTTAATGAACTGAACTGTATTGGAATGTTTACTGCGTGAAATGCCTTGAGACAACTCTTGTCGTGATTTGGTGCTATATAATTAAACTTAAAATTAAATGAATTGGTTATGGGTCACATTCTCAGTAGATCACTGGGTGCCGAGGTACTTAAAGCAGTTGCTAATCCTAACGATTAGCTTCTACTAGCTGAGGCATTATGTTTCCTGGCCACTAAATCAACAACAGCCTTCCCCGTTGTGATCCCAAAAGGGTGAGTCTATGAACGTTAAGCAGCAATGTGACATAGATCTGTCGGGTTTTTCTGAACCAAGAGATAACCCTTCAGAGACTAATGCAGGAAATGGGGTAGAAGACTATTTTCACATTCAGCCTGCATGAAAAACTCAGAGTGATTGACAGTATTTCAAAAATAAGGAGTAACTATGTCTTTAAATGAGACCTTTAAGATTCCTTCCTTCAGAGAAACAGGAGTCGAAGAAACGAGGAATGTTTCAGATCTTTTTTATGGCTTACAGCTGACAGAGGACATCCTGTATTCACACACTTCTATGACTTATTGCCAAATCCCATTCACTTTGAAACAAGTGGAGGGTTCAGAACCAAACACTTATATACAAGGGTTGTTTTATTTTTTGACTTCAGCCGTTTAGCTTTAAGGTTGACTCACTGTACAAGCGTTAGACCACATACACCAATCTATAGAGCATTTAAACTACTAACTCTTATGTACAAATATATTTGGTAGAACCCTGATTAATTTCAACAGTATTGAAACCAACTGCAACTAACTGCAGATAAAACACTTCGATATCTCAAAATACTCAATAGCAAAAAGAACAAAAGGTCTGATTGTTTCTTCCTTTGATCCAGAAACACTGGTCAGTGGCCTCATTTCTACTAGAGAAATACAAAATTTACCTTTAGATCACAAAACCACTGTGCCAGGAGTGCTGTGGGGGCAGTTTCCATCAGTTAAATACTTCATGTCAACTATTTTCAGTAAATTCAGAGGCTGGATCTGAATACTGTCCCACAGAAATGCAGGTGAAACACTGGAATTAAGGCAACAGGAAAACGCTGCTGCTTTACCTTCAGTTTTCAGTCAGTTCAGCCCAGAGTCATCACATTATTCAGACAGAAGAAACCATGGTCCCAAGTACACAACATACAAGTACAAATCAAAGGTCATCATGTCTTTACATCATGGAGGGAATTTCATGAGGAGGAGGGCGGAGTCTACTGATTGCTGTTGCTCTCATGCAGGTCTCTGTGGAGGATCCAGATGTCCTCGTGAGACCGGCTGCTGTCGTTCATGTTGTGGTAGTTGTTGTTGCTGCTGCTCAGAGGGACCTGCTTGGTTCGGCTGCTGTTGGCAGTGGTTCTGCTGTGACTGGAGGGCGTCTGGATTCGGCTGTTGCTGCAGAGTCGAGTCTGCTGCCCCCTGCTGCTCGGAACAGGAAGCTGTGACCTGCTACGAGGGCCAGGACAGCGGTTACAGCTCTGAGAGTTGCCGCGGCCGGACGGACTGACGGCGATCTGCAGGAAGAGAAGGACAGCCTGGTGATCAAACTGGTCCACTTCAGGGACTCATGCCATAACAAACCTCCAGACCACAGCTGGCTTCCTTGAAGTTTTGTTTAGTCTAGAAATCTTGACAGACAGTAGAAGAAGAGGAATTACTTTGCTTGGCATGTCGGTCTACCCACAATTCCAGTGATCTATCAGTTTGGTGGGCGAGATGTTACTGCAAATGAGTGACAGAAAGATAGCGAAGGCTAATTTGAAATGGCTTTGGCCTCGCCTTTGGACTTAGACATGGGCTTTTCTTTGAGTTAAGAGCAGACAGAGGTACTTAGGTCCTTTATTTCGATAAAGGACGTATTTGCGGCTGTTTTGACAGCGTATGGTGGATTGCCTTGTAGGACTGGTGTAATGGTAAGTATGTCACGGTGTTCGCTGTCCAATAGCATGCAGAGACCGTGTGAAAGAACACTGTAGATCCCGCTCGATGACTGGGATCGTTCCAAGGGTCGTGGCCAGATTATAGATTCACAGGATGGCTTGCGAGGCTAGTTTTGCTGCTCAACTAAGGACATTCCTCTCCATTCTGAAGGTGTTCAGGTCTACATGCGAGATGTTTTGATAACTTACCAGGGAGTGTGGACTGTTGTGAAACAGAAGGATCAGATTGAAAGCTGCACCTTACGTACCTGATGACTAAAACCTCCTCTTGTTGTGTTTTTGGGTTGTTTTTATTATTCCAACCTCAAATAACTTTCTTGGTCATAAATATGGAAATTACTGTCCTCCAGGGGCTTAATCGTGGTACAGCAGGTAGTACCAAGGACGCACAGAAAGTTGTCATCTTTCTGCATGTTCTCCCTGTGCATGCATGTTTTCTCCACGTATCTTGGCTTGTCCCACACACCAGCAACATGTTCGGCAGGTTAAATTCTGAGTGGCTTTAGATAAAACTGTCTGCTGAATTAATAAGCATATCTAAGAAGTGTCCCAGGTCCTTCAGATCTAAGTGGACAGAATAATCTTGAGCTGACAGAGTTCCACACCAGCAGCTTTTCATAGAAGCACAGAACGAACATTAATATTCTTATAATAGTCCTTTTATTGTTCCTGTTACCAAACCAAATGTCTCCCAGTGAATTAAAGAAACCCAGGACGTTCCTCTTACCGTCTGCTGCTGCTGGACTAAGTGTTCTTGGCTGACCCTGAGTTGAGGTAGCTCCTCACTGGGAGCACTGGGAAACAGGAACAAGTTATCTTCAGAATGAGAAATCTGCAGGACAAAAACAAAAAAAAAAAAGAGGTAGAACACAAAGCTTAAAGAACTCAACATGTGCACGTTCATCTCTAGCAGCACTAGGACAGCCGAGAAAACTAAAGGTCATCAGGGAGGTGTGACACCAGTGTGATTCCTTCTCAATTAAAACAAAATGTTTTCAGGTTTGCTCATGTCTGGCCCAGAGTTGTAGAAAGAGAGTTCTATGGAAAGAATGGAATGCGGAAGTCATGTGGTTCATGTAGCTTCGAATAGTTCCAAACAGCCCCCGCTGCTGCATTGACCGCAGTTCATTTTCGGTGTTTCGGAAGGATTCTCTCCGGTAAGTTGATGAAATGTCATAATTTTGTTGCATTGTGAAGCGTTAGCTAACCGCTTTGTACCAAAATAAGCCGATGATGATATTTTATGTTCCCAGTTTTAGCTAGATAACCTTTAATGAGCTAACTGTGTGCAGCTTGTTGGTTGTGAGCAGGAGGACGAGCTGTAGACGGGTTTATTTCAGTTTGTTTGATTCTACGTTTTAAAATATTCCCCACAGTTTGAAATATATTATAAACTTTTTACATTATTAGTTTTATTTGGGATTTTTTGTACAATACATTGCTGGTTGCTGTATCAACACGAACATGCATCAGAAATGGAAGCACAAATGGAGAGACCAATAATAAAGAAAATGTGATTGTGAAGACAAGTAATTATTTAATATTTTTCAGTTAATAACACTGACTACAACAAACTGCTGAAGCATGAGACAAACAGGATTACGAACATAAGAAGATATGTTGTTCTGTTTTGTGGACTCAAGTAATAAGAATAAAATTAAGATAATTCAAGAATAGTAGTCGAACACAATAACTTTTAAAAATTTTGACATTTTCCATAAAACTGCTCATTTCCACTTGCTTTATAATATTAGCATTTGCAATTTTGTTATTAAGGAATGACAAGAAATAAGAATTAACAATAGCATAACTATCAATATATAAATGTCAGAGTAACTAAAACAAAGATCTTATGTAACCATTAAAGGCTAAACTGTGTTGTGTGTCCATCTTCATGTTTTCATAGTGGCTGAGCGGAGAGCTGACCAGAAACAACGGTGGTGGCAAAACCCAGTTGGGTCTGTGATGGAGTGATTGCCATCTCATCCACAGTGAGCACACACTCTGTTTCCATCTCTGTCAGATTTTTAACCTTCAAACTGAACATGTCATACACCTCTCCTAACACACCTGGTTCCAGTTTAATGGGCTGCATTTGTCTTTGCAGGGTTCCAACATCAGGCAGAGGGATACTCTTGTCCTGAAGAAACATGCAGCCTGTTGAACCCACTGAAAAACAGAGCTGTACGGCCTTTTTGATTGTCTGTTTACTCCATTTAATGCCTCTTGTGTTTTTCATGCCTTTTTGACTTTCTGTTTCCTCCCTTAGGTTTTCCAGCTGGGTTCCCTGGTTGCATAGCCTGTTCCTTTCTCCTCCTGGCCCTGACGCTGGCTCCTCATGGCTTCCTGGGATGTCCCTCTCTCCTGATACCATCTCATGTCCCCCCTCACTTTCCCTCATCTCATTTGCCTCACCACTGCTGCTGCTTTCCTCATTCTCTGAAATTATAATGGCACTGTTAGAATAAAGAATCATTTTTAAATAAAATTAATACAAATGTCTGACAGAGGTCAGTAATTTTCATCATAGGTACACTTCAACTGTGAGAGACAGAATGTGAAAAAAAAATCCATGAATTCACATGGCAGGATTTTTAAAGAATTTATTTGTAAATCAGGGTGGAAAATAAGTATTTGGTCAATAACAAAAATTCAACTCAATACTTTGTAACATAACCTTTGTTGGCAATAACAGAGTTCAAACGGTTACTATAGGTCTTTACCAGGTTTGCACACACAGTAGCTGGTATTTTGGCCCATTCCTCCATGCAGATCTTCTCGAGAGCAGTGCTGTTTTGGGGCTGTCGCCGAGCAACACGGACTTTCAACTCCCTCCACAGATTTTCTATGGGGTTGAGGTCTGGAGACTGGCTAGGCCACTCCAGGACTTTCAAATGCTTCTTACGGAGCCACTCCTTTGTTGCCCAGGCGGTGTGTTAGGGATCATTGTCGTGTTGGAAGACCCAGCCACGTTTCATCTTCAAAGCTCTCACTGATGGAAGGAGGTTATGGCTCAGAATCTCACAATACATGGCCCCATTCATTCTGTCCTTAACACGGATCAGTCGCCCTGTCCCCTTAGCAGAAAAACAGCCCCAAAGCATGATGTTCCCACCCCCATGCTTCACAGTAGGTATGGTGTTCTTGGGATGCAACTCAGTATTCTTCTTCCTCCAAACACGTCGAGTTGAGTTTATACCAAAAAGTTCTACTTTGGTTTCATCTGACCACATGACATTCTCCCAATCCTCTGCTGTATCATCCATGTGCTCTCTGGCAAACTTCAGACGGGCCTGGACATACACTGGCTTCAGCAGCGGAACACGTCTGGCACTGCAGGATTCGATTCCCTGCCGTTGCAGTGTGTTACTGATGGTGACCTTTGTTACTGTGGTCCCAGCTCTCTGCAGGTCATTCACCAGGTCCCCCCGTGTGGTTCTGGGATTCTTGCTCACCGTTCTCATGATCATTTTGACCCCACGGGATGAGATCTTGCGTGGAGCCCCAGATCGAGGGAGATTATCAGTGGTCTTGTATGTCTTCCATTTTCTGTTGATTTTTTCACACCAAGCTGCTTGCCTATTGTAGATTCACTCTTCCCAGTCTGGTGCAGGTCTACAATTCTTTTCCTGGTGTCCTTCGAAAGCTCTTTGGTCTTGGCCATAGTGGAGTTTGGAGTCTGACTGTTTGAGGCTGTGGACAGGTGTCTTTTATACAGATAATGAGTTCAAACAGGTGCCATTAATACAGGTAACGAGTGGAGGGCAGAAAAGCTTCTTAAAGAAGATGTTACAGGTCTGTGAGAGCCAGAGATTTTCCTTGTTTGAAGTGACCAAATACTTATTTTCCACCCTGATTTACAAATAAATTCTTTAAAAATCCTGCCATGTGAATTCATGGATTATTTTTCCATATTCTGTCTCTCACAGTTGAAGTGTACCTATGATGTAAATTACTGACCTCTGTCATCATTTTAAGTGGGAGAACTTGCACAATCGGTGGCTGACTAAATACTTTTTTGCCCCACTGTAGATGCATGTACTGTCTTCACATAAAAATATAAAGTAATGATTGTAAAATGTATTCTACTGAACATAATAGATCATCATTCAAAGCATAAACAGCTACATATTTTCTTCAAGGTAAGCTGGAGCAGAATTCTAGCTTTCAATAAACCACTTTAAAATGGATATTACAACTCGAGTTTAGGGCTTCTTGTAGGACTTAAAGTTATTAAATATGCTTATATTAGAGCAGTGTGTTGCATTACCCCTTAGAGAGGACTACAAAGATATCAGAACTAAATTAGAGACCATGAGCTGTTTGAATAAAGCTGTGTAGCTGGAGCTATTTAGTTAGAACTCGTAGAATTTACATGTTTCCATGGCAACCCCGGAAGTCAGCTTCAGCTCTTGTTTCACCACATATTTTATTGTTTTTTAGCTTCCCCCTATGATACAGTCAATTTGACACAACCACCACCGGCGGGTGCTGGTGGCCCAAACATTTGAAATGATTTACTTTCATTTTCACATTTACCAGTTTTTGATAATCCATCCATTTATATAACTCTTGAGTCAAAATATTTCAGGAGTTCTGCTAGAATCTGATTTAAATTAGCTCTATTGATCAGATATTGAAAATATAAGAGTAAACTGGTGAAAATCAGTAGGAATGAAAATTACCAACAAGGTGAAAAACAAAGCTGAATTGAAAGTATTAGTGTTTTTTTTAACTGCACCCACCCCACCCCCACCCCCTCCACCCCACCCAGTCCTTATGCCAGTTGTGTCCCCCACTTCTAAAGTCAAAACTACATCCATGTCCTGAAGGACTGGGTTTGCAACGAGATCCGTTAGGGTGGGTTAGTAGTAGTGATTTCTACACATGTGAACACACGAGCACAAAACCATTACTTTACTTCCTTCTCTCAAAAAAGAAGATGTTAACCAGTTAAAGCATCACATACTTCCTAAAGCTTGAAAATTCATCACTAACAGTGTGTGTGTGTTCTTGCATCACTAACAGTGTGTGTGTGTTCTTGTACTTACTACCTACGGAGGATCCTTATGAGTTTTGAACCAACAGAGGTTATTTTTCAAAGTGAGGATGTTTTTGTTGTCCTGACTTTTTTAAAAAGCTTACTCATTGGTTTTAGAGGTATTATTGTTTTAATTAAGTAGTAGTCAAGGCTGGGGTATGTGTTAGGCATAATACAGTCACAAAAATGAATGGAAGTCAATGGATGGTCCTCATTAAAATAGAAAAACATACGTGTGTATGGAAGACTTACATTACTGATGTCAGGTTCTGACCTGCTGGAGCACATGGTCTGCAGCTCTCTGATCAGATCCGTTTCATCTGAGAAAACTGGCAGACCTGCAGGCTCTCTACACACACACACCCACACCCACCCACCCACCCACCCACCCACACACACACACACACACACACACACACACAAACACACACACACACACACATTAGGAGTAACTCAGCACTGTCCAGTAAAGTAAAGCCAGTAAGTCACTGGGCTGTGTCTGCTGGAGACCCTTCAGGCACACAAAACTGGGAGAAAATTGACAGAATCAAGAGGGGCAAATTGTGTATTGGTGAATATTTCCATCCATTATCTGAACCCGCTTGTCCATGTAGGGTCACGGGGACAGTCTCCAGCAGCCAATGGGCAGACAGGCGGGGCACTCCATGGACAGGCTGGCAGTAATGACCTGTATTTGATATAGCGCCTTCTAGAGTCCTGGAACCCCCCAAGGCGCTTTACAACACAATCAGTCATTCACCCATTCACACACACACGCTGGTGGGAATGAGCTACAATGTAGCCACAGCTGCCCTGGGGTGCACTGACAGAGGCGAGGCTGCCGAGCACTGGCGCCACCGGTCCCTCCGACTACCACCAGCAGGCAACGTGGGTTAAGTGTCTTGCTCAAGGGCAAAACGACAGCGACAGACTGAGCGGGGCTCGAACCTGCAACCTTCCGATTACAAGGCGAGCACTTAACTCCTGTGCCATCGTCGCCCATATGGCTGTCCATCGCAGAGCAATAAGAAGACACACAGGACAAACAATCAAGCACACACACACTCACACCAATTCTAGACAAACCAATTTACCTGACCGTCATGTTTTTAGACTGTGGGAGGAAGCCGGAGCACCCGGAGAGAACCCACACATGCACAGGGAGAACATGCAGACTTCTTGCAGAAAGACCCCAGGCTTGGGTGCGAACCCAGGACCTCTGTGCAGCCATCTGAATATTTATTCATGCAATTTAGTTGCAAAATTTGAAAATAATATCTCCTGTTTATCCTCTACTCATCCACCGCTGATGTCCCAGACCCTCCAGAAGACATCCCTCATGTCCCAGGACACCAAAAGCTTTCTGTGACTATTCACTGCCCAGAGAGGTACTGGCTTCTCTTTCTACTGGTGTTCACACAAACACACACACACACACACACGCACACGCATACGCACACGCACACACACACACACACACACACACACACACACACACACACACACACACACACACACACACAAACACACCTGTGGCCATTGGACATGACGCTGACATCAGAGCTGGACAGAGAACCTAAAATCAAAAATGTCAAACCATTAAAGATGTGAATTACTCATTTAAGCAGTACATTTGTGCATGGGCGTCACACCCGTGGGTGTTTCACGTTTTCTAATAAGGAGGTAAAATACCCACATCTTTCCCACAGTTTAGCTCAAAAACGTCACCATCAGTCCAGGCCCTCTGTGTTTCTCTGGCTGTGTTCATCTCCCTCCCCCTCTCCTGCTGCTAGCTAAAACCCCGCACCTCTCTGCACCGGTGTTACGTCAGTATTCTGGTCGGTTCCATTGTTGAAACGCACCTCCCCACCATTCCGCACCGCGCAAGCAGCAAAAACTAACGCTAATTACAAACGTGCTTCCGCGGTGCGCTCTGGTTTAAGTTTAATACGAGCCACAGATCTAAGTTGTGTTTATTTACTTTGTAGAATCTATTCACACTAATGGAGCCAAGCTCTGGCGTCACAATGAGAGGTTCAGTTATGACACTGTTGATCACCTGCTGCTGATGAGAGGATTTCTCCTGTCAGGAACAGGTGAGCTGCTGCCAACCCTAACCCAACAAGCTTCTGTTCCTAGAAACACGTTCTACGCCCAGACTGTAGTGCCTTGTTATTTATAATTTTATAATTAATGTTAAGTAAATGCACTAAACCCACAAGTGATGGAAAATTAGATTAAATGATCCTGAATATTTTCTCCCACAGCTCAGCTCTGATTGACATAAGCAGACGTCTGCTTCAGCTGGACAATATTAAACATAAAAAGTGTTCACAAAGAATTAATCTTTGAACGAAAAATGAAAAAAAAAATCATTTTTTATTTGACTGTTTATTTTATTTCTAAGATTTGGATGTCTGTGAACATTACTAAATATTCTCATTGGTGTAAAGAGCATGATATTATAAGCAGGTGTGGATCTAATCGGGTCGGTCTGAGGTATAAAACTCTGCCCTGGGCCTATAGCCCTGCAGATAGATTTAGTTTCTATAAACACCAACAACAAATAAATAACAGCAGCTGGACTCTGCTTTGTTCCTTAGGTTGGGTCACGTAGTTTTGCAAGTTCTGCAAGTTCACATGTTCTACAGCAAGCTCTGCCAGCTGATTGTCAGGGTGCGCTGGTGAGTGGAGCGGAGGTGAGGATCCAAATGCAAGGGAGAAAGCAGGCAGGCAGACAAACTGGAAAACTGAAAGGGTTTTAATGATTCACGCACGCAGGACATGGAAACAATGAAGCAACAAGAGACAAAGGACTGGAGGGGTTTAAATACAGGAGGGCTGGGAGCTTGGGTGATTGGGGAACAAGAGGCAGGTGGGAGCAATCAACAGGAACACAGGCTGAACCAAATGGAGAGACAGGACAGGGTGTGACAGTACCCCCCCCTCAAAGGGTGGCTTCCAGAAGCCCACAGGAACACAGAACAGGGCCGGAGGAGGGGGACCCGGATGGAGGGCCGAGAGGGACAGAGGGCCCGATGATCAGGAGGCAGGGACCAGCAGAGTCCGGGGTCCTGCACCCAGGGCAGAGGAGGCAATGACGACGACGGGCTCTTGGGGGCCTGCGCCTGGGGCAGAGGAGGAGGCGACGACGGGCTCTTGGGGGCCTGCGCCTGGGGCAGAGGAGGAGGCGACGACGGGCTCTTGGGGGCCTGCGCCTGGGGCAGAGGAGGAGGCGACGACGGGCTCTTGGGGGCCTGCGCCTGGGGCAGAGGAGGAGGCGACGACGGGCTCTTGGGGGCCTGCGCCTGGGGCAGAGGAGGAGGCGACGACGGGCTCCTGGGGGCCGGCGTCTATGGCAGAGGAGCTCTGTAGACTGGGCCGGGGACAGAGTCTCTGCAGGCTGGGCCGGGGACATAGTCTCTGCAGGCTGGGCCGGGGACAAAGCCCCTTGGACGGGCTGGACCGGAGACTCGTAGAAGAGCTGGACCGGATACGGTATGACCTCCAGAACCACCGTTGGCACTGGAGACGGTGGAGACGTCGGACTAGAGGGAGCGCCGACCTCTGGACAGGAGAGAGCGCTGACCTCTGGACAGGAGAGAGCGTCGACCTCTGGACAGGAGAGAGCGTCGACCTCTGGACTGGAGAGAGCGTCGACCTCTGGACTGGAGAGAGCATCCTCAGACGAGGCAACTTCAGACGAGCCGACTTCGGAGGAGGAGGTGACGTTATCGGACGAGCCGACTTCAGAGGCTACGTCATCGGACGAGCCGACTTCAGAGGCGGCGACTTCAGAGGCGACGTCGTCAGACGAGCCGACTTCAGAGGCGACGTCGTCAGACGAGCCGACGTCAGACGAGCCGACTTCAGAGGCGACGTCGTCGGACGAGCCGACTTGGGAGGCGACGTCGTCGGACGAGCCGACTTGGGAGGCGACGTCGTCGGACGAGCCGACTTGGGAGGCGACGTCGTCGGACGAGCAGACTTGGGAGGCGACGTCGTCGGACGAGCAGACTTGGGAGGCGACGTCGTCGGACGAGCAGACTTGGGAGGCGACGTCGTCGGACGAGCAGACTTGGGAGGCGACGTCGTCGGACGAGAAGACTTGGGAGGCGACGTCGTCGAACGAGCAGACTTGGGAGGCGACGTCGTCGGACGAGCAGACTTGGGAGGCGACGTCGTCGGACGAGCAGACTTGGGAGGCGACGTCGTCGGACGAGCAGACTTGGGAGGCGTCGTCGTCGGACGAGCAGACTTGGGAGGCGACGTCGTCGGACGAGCAGACTTGGGAGGCGACGTCGTCGGACGAGCAGACTTGGGAGGCGACGTCGTCGGACGAGCAGACTTGGGAGGCGGCGACGTCATCAGACGAGCCGACTTCAGAGGAGACGTCATCAGGGGCGTCGACTTCTGGACAGGAACGGGCGTCGACTTCTGGACAGGAACGGGCGTCGACTTCTGGACAGGAACGAGCGTCGACTTCAGGACAGGAACGAGCGTCGACTTCAGGACAGGAACGAGCGTCGACTTCCATCGACTTCAGGTCCGGGGGCGTCGGCTTCGGGTCCGGAGGCGTCGACTTCTGGTCCGGAACCAGAACCATCTGCTTCGGGGTCAGAACCGTCTGCTTCTGGGCCGGAACCGGAACCGTCTGCTTCGACGCCCGAACCTTCGGCTTCTGGGCCGGAACCGGAGCCGTCTGCTTCGGGGCCCGAACCTTCTGCTTCTGGGCCGGGACTGCCTGCTTCCGGACCGGTATCATCAGCTTCTGGGCTGGAGGCAGAGCTGCTGCAGGAGGAGCTGCCTGGCCAGGCTGGACCAGATGCGGTGCGACCTCCGGGACCACCGCTGGAACTGGATGCGGAGCGTCCACCGGGGCCACTGCTGGAGCTGGCTGCGACAGAGCAGGTGGTGCTGAGAACTGTGAAAGCAGGGAGGACAGACCGTCCAGCTGACGCTCCTTAAGGCTGAGGGTCCAATGGAGCTGGGCCAGCTTAGCCCGGAGATCGTCGAGCTCCGCTGGGTGAACACCGGGCTCGCTCGTCTGGTCCTGAGATGAGGAGGATAGAGCATCCAGGCGGGATTCCTGGAAGCTGATGAGCTGGCGGAACCGGCCAAGCTCCGCCTGGAGACTGACGAGCTCAGTCAGCTGGGCTGCGGCCAACGCTCCTCCCTCAGCAGATGGCGGAGGCGCCGATTGGGTCGGAGCCGGAACTGCTGGTCTGGCCGGGGGCTTGTCCAAACTGCTGCGCAGAGCAGGGGCAGCGGCGGGCACACAACTCCATCCCGGTACACAGGACTGCGGGGCAGCCCGGCGTCTCTCCCCACGCCGTGGACCAACGCCGGGGGAGCACACAGCCAGACGGGTGCCCACGTAACTGGAGTGATCCGAACGCGTCTCTCGATCCGGTCTCTCATCAGGCGCTGGGAGGGTGGAGAGGAAGGCCGAGGGTGCACGCTGACGCCGTCGTCCGCGGCGAGGCGGAGGTGGAGCTGGAGAAGCCGGGTGGTGGCTTGGAGCGAGCCACTGGAGCAGGTACTCCCTCGGGAGAATCTCCCCGCTGGGTCCTTCAACTGGTGGTTGCTTCATTCTGTCAGGGTGCGCTGGTGAGTGGAGCGGAGGTGAGGATCCAAATGCAAGGGAGAAAGCAGGCAGGCAGACAAACTGGACAACTGAAAGGGTTTTAATGATTCACGCACGCAGGACATGGAAACAATGAAGCAACAAGAGACAAAGGACTGGAGGGGTTTAAATACAGGAGGGCTGGGAGCTTGGGTGATTGGGGAACAAGAGGCAGGTGGGAGCAATCAACAGGAACACAGGCTGAACCAAATGGAGAGACAGGACAGGGTGTGACACTGATTGGTTATTCTGGTAACTAGTGACATCAGTACAGTTCTGGTACTGAACAGCATGGATGCACCAGAGGGTTTCACTTTAGTTGGTGTGAAAAAAGGATTAAAGAAAGGACAGGAAATCATTGTTAACTCAAATATATCCTGATAATACCACAAACATGTATAGACACTTTAGTATATGTACCTGCCTGTAACTCTACGTTTTTCTCAAAATGCACCAGCCTGATGCTTTTAAATATAAAATTTCCAAACATTTCTTCTGGGGATGCGTGCCTCTGGACCCTCCTAGAGTAGTTTAATACTTATCATCTTTTTCACCTCTGATCTTTTTCATGCCTGCTCTTTGTTGCTGGTGCACCCTGTGGTGGAAAAACAACCGGACTCAGAGAAATCTCAACACCCACAGTTTAAAACAGCTTGCTACGCCTCTGCATTTGCATAGCCTGGCCTGCCAGACTCCTCCTCTGTTTAATTCTGCACAGAGAGAGTCTGGTAACTCACAGGCAGAGAGGCACTTGAGGGGCGGGACTAGCCAGCTCAAAAATAACCAGTCAGAAAAAAGACTGAAATGCCGACTGTACCGCGCAACGCTGTGGTTTTTTAGCTGTAGTAAACCGTACATGTACAAGCGCGTGTACACACACAGGTGCTCACATGGTGTTCTCAAAAGTATGGGCTTGGACACGTTAAACACAGGTCTTAAGGCTGTCGTTGCCACTACATGCACTATGATTTATTATCGTGTGATTGTTCAGTTAAACAATATTGATTTTATATTTCATCATCACGTTGACGCAGTGATAGCTTGCTCCCGATGTATTGTTGTGTGTCCCATTTTTTTCTGCTCTTTCTCTTTTGCAGGTCTAGAAGCAGACTCTTGTTCATTATTGTTTTTTTTGTGGAACCCCCCCCTTACCCCCTCTCTTCCCACCTTTTGTCTTTTCCTTTCTCTTTCACCTCTGTCTGGTCGGAATTACAAAGCATTCAAAAACAATAACAATAAAGTTTTAAGTATCAGGCGTGACATTAAAAGCAAACGCTTTGATGCTCCACCTGAGAGTAAATCAGTAAGGCTTGTTACCAGCATTCAGACATCAATTCTGTTTGCTTCACAGCCAGACAGGACACGGTCAAAAAAAAAGTAAGGCTTTTAGACCTTCTACTTGTGGTTTTAAAAACATTCAAGTCATTTAGAACAAAGCAAAGAGCTGCAACAAACTCTGCATCAGTCGCCATGTTTATGACAAACTCAGCGTTATGGTGTGTGACGTACGCTGCTCAGCGCTGATTGGCTCGGTTAGAATTGTCAGGGGGTGGGGTTATTTGAATAGGAGAGTTCCCAGACCCTGTCTCTGTGCAGATTTAAACGGAGGAGGAGTCTGGCAGGCCAGGCTAGCATTTGCAGTGGTCTCCAGTAGGAATGAATGCCTTGCAGGCAAAACTCAGGGCACAAAAAGCCCACAAAGGACTGGCCCAGCAGGACCAGTCTGCGACATCAGAGCTGCACTTCAGATGAGAAGATATGGGGTCTTATGTCCTGATATTTAGACATCTTACCTCGGGCTGGGTAACAGCAAAGTGACTCTGCCACTTACTCTGTTTGCTCGGGGATATGGATGTTTTATCTCCACACATAACAAACCTGGAGGAACTTCAGCCTGGCTAATGCTAGCGGTTAGCTTCAATTGAAAGAGACGTTCTCTGCTGATTCTGCATGCTAAAACAACAATAGCCTTCCCCGTTGTGAGACAGTATAATTAAGTCCAATTTCCATTGTAACATAGATCTGTCACGCTTTTCATATCCTAGAGTTTCGCCGTGTATTTTCCATCAGAACGAATACAGCAGATAGGTGTAGGAGACTATTTTAATGTTCAGCCTGCATGGAAAACTCAGTGACCTATTATAATAAAAAACTAATGATCAAAAATTGTTTTTCAGTGTTCCACACCTTTAAAGGTGTTGTTTTGTTCCTCTCCATTACAGCTGACAATAAATCTGATCAGCTGAACCCACCTGGTTCTACAGCTGAAATAAGTGGTTTACTGAACTGAGATCAGTACTTAAACGCAGGAACAGAACAGCTGTCTGGCCAGGGCTGCAAAAACAGCACCCCCTTGTGGTCACTGCCGAAACAAAGCTTAGAAAAGGACTTAGACATCCGGAGGACTAACAGATTGTGTAAGATCTTGCAAAAATGTCGTGTAATATTTTCAGGATTTGACTTAATCGACAACAACTCCTTTATTTAAACCGTTCACTCCTGATGGGCTCCAGGACTCAAGCAGCAGCTGTCTCACCCTCTCTGAAGGAACCGCCACAACTCCAGTTCACGGAGAGGCCTCCCTTCTTCCGAGGGCTAGTGTTGGATCGCCTCAACTTGCTGCCGTCCCTCCCCCTTCTTCCTCCCCCAACATAGCTTCCCTTGTGGAACCCGAGAGCCGACAGAGGGAAGGAGCTGCCCCGAAACTCCAGCAGGTACCGGTCCATGTCTGAGGAGTAAAAGAGCACATTAGCATGTGGATTTTGGGGGGGAGGGGGGGGGGGGGGGGGGGGGTGACACATCACAGTGATGCCCACTCACCGTGTCGAGGGAGGGGGCAGCCCAGGAGAACCGCCTTGTTGATCAGGATGCTGAGGGCCGCTTTGACCACAGCCTGCTGTCCGGCACTCAGCCCACAGTTGCTAGGAGACGGCCTCTGTAAGGAAGAGGATGCAGAGGAGCTGGAGGTGGAGTATTTGGCTGTTACCCGGGAGATAACTGCCTCTTCCACACGGGGGACAACCACGGCGTTCCAGAGACGGGCCAGCCACCTGAAAACACACTTACATCAGCTTGATGCTTGCGCTCAACTGTCCAACTGGTCCAAAGGGACTTCCACTCAACAAGTCCAGATTAACTACTCTGTCTTTGTCCTAAAACACAGATGCTAAATCAAAGCTCGTGGTGATTAGGTTTTGATTGTGTGTTTTTATTAGCAGAAACCTCGCTGAGCATTTATGTGTGTTTACTACAAAATGTGTTTTATTATAAAAACATCTCAAATCGCAGCTTATTGTGGATGACCATGTGGACTGAGGCCATTATGAAGCTTTTTTAGAGTCACTGTGTGTGCTTTATTTTTATTCTTGTGGTTCTCTAAAGGCCACGAAGAGGCTCCAGACAGCTCCTCATGTTTTGGTTAAATGTGTACATAAAATTAACTCAACATGAATTCTGGCGCAAACAGAGACGGCTGATCCAGAATCATGACATGTTTTTTTGATCATGGATGAGGGTGAATGATGAAGAATGACCACACTCACCTTCAAACCCAACATCACCGTCAGAAACATACCACCTCTCCTCTTTTAGAATGAATTTATGTTTGCTGTGATAAACTTTATTCTTTCATCCCAGTGAGGAACTTTAAAGAGCAATTCACCCCCAAATAAACTTTATTTTGCTGATAAACTAAAAAAACGAGTGTCTAATCGTGCTGCAGACATGTGTGGTCAATAATTTGGTACTTCAGTGCATCTCAGTTAAAATTTTAAATATTCTGCCTAAAACTGGCAGTGTTGTGCCATCGTCAGGTAAAAACTCTGCACTGTATTTTAATTTAAATCTGCCACTGCTATTGGCTAAGAGGTATGCTATGATGTAAACTGGTACATTATGATGTCACAATGCTGTCGTGAGCCTGTGTGTGTGTGTATTTGTTAGCAGCTCCGCCCTCTCGGTCTGCCAGGCAACAGCATTTGTTGCATTTTTCAAACATGAAGTGGGAGTGGAGTTAGAATCTGGTAGGGGTTGACTTGCTCTTTAAGGTAAATAAATGCATTGAAGATGATAAATGTTGTTGTTTTAACATAGGGTTTAAGATGTTTCACAGAGAACATGTTAGGTAGCTCCAAACAGAAATACTAGAGCAACGCTGACTTAAGGTAAGTCTAACCCCTTTCCTAAACTTGTATCACACTGCATCATTTCTTAGATGTCTGTCCCTATAGTGTTATAACTCACCTCTGCCAGTGTGCCCCAGGGCGGCTGTAGCTACATCATAGCTCATCCCCACCAGCGTGTGAATGGGTGAATGACTGATTATGTTGTGAAGCACCTTAGGGGGTTGCAGAACCCTAAGAAGGCGCTATATAAATACAGGCCATTTACCAAGCTAAATCTACGCCACATTTGAAATATAGATATAAATCTATATTTATCGCTACATATTTTGGTGCCCCATGTGAGGCAGATTTGACGTTGTGACCCGACATTTGCTGGAATAATAGCTTTGCTCCAAGTTAGAACCGTGAGTACATGTTGAGAAATTAGTTTCGTCTCCAGTGCTGCATGTTAAGAAAGGCCTCTGATGGTGAGGAAACGGAAGTCAGCAAACCAAGCACGTTCCCATGTTCAGGATCAGCTGATGTTTAATTTCAGCATTTTGATTGTCATTTAAAAGCAGAGGGACCAACATCAATCCCGGCCCTGCTTATTCTTTCTCTTTTTAAGTGCAAAAGCTGATGCGGTAACGTTCTGTTACTCGTTTTTGGAATAGCCAGAAACTGTTAAAAGAAAAAAAAATAAGGGGCCTGACATGAA